TTTTTATTAGTGATTAAATAAAAACAAGTGAGCAGTTTAGTTTTAGCAACTCAAAGCATTTTAACATATAAAAAATATGCTTGTGTTATTTTTGTAACTTTTAATCAACAGCTACAAATGAGTATACTCTACTGTTTTCTGTCTTCTGATTGGAAGATGTATGTTTACGTTTTGTTAGGCGCTTGGAGGATGATTCTGCATTGTATGAGTCATTATGCAACAATTTATACTCATGTAAGCTTCATGTTTTTTACACATTTACAGTGAATTCTTTAAAATCTTCGGATAGCAGATATCCGGCAGTGCTGGGTTGTAAAGTGTGTGTTTACCTGTTCAGCAGGAACAGCTGTGTCAAACGTGCATTTAAATGTTGGTATGTATGCACCATGCTCTATAATCAGTCCTTTCTCATTACCTTCATCATTGAAAAAGGTGTTTGGTTGTATTTTATTTAATTTATTTATTGTTTGTTTAAATAGTTTTGTTCCAGTCCTCACAGGATTTAACCATTTCTAAAAAATAAGACCAGTCAGGATAAAGGATATTATCAGGTTTATTGGGTTCAAAAAAGCAGCTTTATTACTCAAAAAGATACAAATATCAAGAAGTAAAATAAAAAAAAAATGAATAATAAAAAGGAAATGAAACTTGGTAAACTGTCAAAAATAGAATTACCAGAAATTAGGTCATAAACAGTCAGTATTCATTAAATCATTTTGTGAATTTCTGCTTTAAGACATTTCTTGTCTTATTTTCTTTCACATCATTTAAGAATAGTCGAATAGATGAAAGTAAGTGTGAGCTGCTGCTAGCTATAGCTTTCAGAGTTATAAATGACAAATTCTTTCTGACATGATGAGTAATATTATAAATTTGTGATGGGATGATCAGATTGGTATTAAATTAATTTATCTCTAAATCGTCACAGATAAAGTTTAATTTCTTGGAATCAGAGAGCATTCACAGTATTTAGGACAAGTTATAGATCTGAACTTTTCACTAGACCGTTGTAACATCTTGAATCTGTCCCTCGCTGCAGATTTGCTGCTGTTTTTGAGATAGTTTTCCTTTTGAAGGGCCAGTTCTCAAACTAGTCCATCTAACTCTGTAACATTTGATTTTTGCCTAACATCCCTAAGTTGACCTCATTTAGCCAAGGGACATCGTCCACACGTTTTCTTCCACTCTGAGGCAGTTATGTGAATGGAAGGCGTGCTGCCGTATTTTTTTCCATGTGAAGAAGCTTTGTGCTTCATACCTTACCAGACAAGCCGTTCTTGTTGGGTGTTTTTATAAGTGTCCCATTATTACCATTTGCATAAAGTGTCCTATTGTTCTCTCATGACCTTAAGCATGTATGTTATGCTACATACAGGAGCTGTTGATTTTTTTTTTTTTTTTTATGTTTGGTTTCACCTTAAGATGAATTTCAATGTGTTCAGCTTGTAGATAATCTTTATCTTTATAGAAAGAGTAGCAGTGCTGTTGTTTCTCCTTGTTGGCATTATGCTGGCACACGCCTGTATGCTCCAGAGGAGCAAACCATCAGAGCCTCTTTTTATAGAGCTGGTTACGCTGATGAAAATCTGTTTATTAAGTGAACTGGATAAGCAGTGCCGAGCGGGTGTTTTCCATACTGACTCCAAGGGAAGAGGCAAAGGTCTACTTACTCTGCATTTTTGACTTCATATTTCATAACGATGGGTAAAAGTGGTTTGTTAGCCACCGATGTTTTATAACCAATCGTCTTTATCATTGAATTAATATCACCTAGCAATAAGTGCTTGTATTATTTTATGTAATAGTTTGGCTCATGTTCCTTTCCAATAAATGTAATGCTCCTTGTAAATCAGAGGCTCATTAAAAACCTTCCTTGTGATCTACCTCAAACCTAATGCTGCTTTGATAAAAAAAAAATTAAGAGAAAAAAAAAAAGCTTCTCAGATTTCAATGAAAACCCGGTGTGGACATTTACATCTCCAGGTTTGCCAATATTAGCCTAAAGCACCACGAAGCCGGTTGACGGCACCCTTCCCGAGTCACGTTTGTGTGCTTATATGTATTAAGTGGGATGAGGTGGAGCTCATTAAACAACACTGGGGCTGTTTCCGCGGATACAGAGGGCGTGTCGCTTTATTACTCTTATAAACAGAAAATGGAGAGTGCTTATTTCAGCTGGGGTCGTATGTGGAGATAAAGACCCAATAAATGTTTGTAGCTAGCCTCCATATTCTTTCTAAACAACCCAAAAAACTCATCTGCCGGCTGGATTCAGGGTTTTATAGACCTTCTCCTTCCTTTAGGTTCACTAAGATGTGCATAAAACTTAGTGGAAATTTAATTTGCTCATGATTAGAAAGTACTTTTGAGAGATTTTCATGACAAGGCTTCAAAAGGTCAGGTGTCAATGAATATAATATAACCTAACAGTAGGCTTTAATTTAGCTTAAATCTGTTTTTATTTTAGTTCTATTTAAATCCATTAGCATCCAGTTGATGAAAACTTGCATAAGACATCAAATTCATACATAAAGAAATTTATAAGTAAAGAAATTCATAAGTAAAGAAATATTTATTTAAATAAACAGTAGGTGTTAAATTTCAGAACAAACTACAGCTGACTCTCAGTGCTGTCACAGCAGTGTGCGGATAACTCTGACCTACTGTTGGATTTAAAGGCTTTACAGTCGCAGCATCTCATAGAGTTAATAAGCAACTTTGTTTTATTCACTCTCCCACTGTGACGTCTTCCAGTCCCTGGATGGATTTATTCAGCCATCCATTCAGATGTTCTTCAAGGTTAATTTCTTAAAGCCTGATCTTGTGATGCAGTCTATTATTCCCCCACAGGAATGCTCACACACCCACACCTAAGAGCTGTTTAGAGTGACATGTGGGTGGAAGCGAGTGTGTTTGAGGAGAAACCACACACAGGAAGAGGAACATGCAAACTCCATGTAGAAACCTCAGCCAACTATCAAACCCTGCTAACATCTTTGCTGCTGCAAATCCTGGATCCTATTAAAGTGGCTGCTATACATTATAAAATTGAAGTTTTGGATTAACACTTTTAAAAACGGGTAAAGGAAAGAGCCCAAAATTTCTGGAGTCTGGAAAAGCCCAGAAGTATTTCTGTAGTAAATTCTGCTGCTAGCTTTGGTGTTTACATCTTTTTTGCTTGTTTCCTAAACATTCATTTCTAGAAATACTCTTTTCAATGTTAAAATGTTTTAAACCTGTTGGGCTACATTAGTGCAGATATGATCATTTTCAGTCCAGACTAAGAGGAGATTTGGCTCATGTGATTTTAGAGCGTTGTTACTGATAAAATAGCTCAAATGTCGATCTGGGATCATCGTGTTCATGTTTCTTTAGTTGCTATTTTTCTGTTTTCTGTGGCAGAAGAGTGAAACCAATTACTTCTTGACATTTAGTTTTTCAATAAGGTTAGTATAATAATACCAATATTATTAACTGGACAGATAAAACCAGAAAATAACCTAAATGAGCCTTTCTTGATTTTGTATCAAAATCTTGTGCATTGTTGTTTAGTCTTCCACTGATCTCAAAGTAAAGCAGCTAAAATTGTGATTAAATGCATTATTATTATTTTTTACATTCAATTAGTAGAAGAAATGTTTTTATAGTGGATCAGTAAAAACACAATGTGTTTCCTACAACTTTCTCTGAATATTGTGGCATCCTGCAGTAACCCCTGGTTGTTTTGTCAGCTGTTGGTATTTAGGCAAATCACTGTTGGTTATAAGGCTGCTTAAAAGTTCAGGCTGACATGTTGTTGGTTCTTTTTTATGACTGTTTATAGGAAAATGTAAAAGGAATATAACATTTTTCTAACAAATCTAAATAAAATTGTTCAGAAATGTTAGTTTGATTGACTTCACAGAGTAATATTGCTGGTCTTTGTCAATTACCTTTAGATGATAACCTAAAGTATTGAGGAGTACGAGGGTGTGATGTTTGCTGGTTTTTAGCAGGTTGTGGTTCAGACTCTAAAGCTGACGATCTTTTTGCTTGGCTAGCTGGTGGTGAATGGGCTGGTCGCTCTGGTTTGTTGAGGAGCAGATGGAGTTGTGCCAACACCGCCAAGCTCATAACATACTAGTTGTGAGCCAAGCTCACAACTCACTTTTTCAGCTCACAACTAAAAGAGACACCCTCTGAGGTGTCTCTTTCTTTGGATCTGACCAGGATGCTTTATGGAGATCTTAATTGGGGGATTTTTTGGCCACATCTCCCTGGGAGGAGACTGCAAATCTTTTTTCTAAACAGGATTAGGGAAAGACTGGATGACTAGATGTCCCCTTTTGAGGAATATCTGTTAGTGATGTTAGCACCTTAATCTGAATCTGTAAATAAGGAGAGAAAAGAATCTCAGTAAAAAACTTCAGTCTAGCCAGATTTCCTCCTATGCTTTACTCTAATTTCTGTAGGAACCTTCCAGTGAGACAGCCATCCTAATCAGATCAGTAAAGGGACAGAAGTCTTTGAAACCTGCAGTTTTTGGAGCATCAGCGCACACTCTAAATGCACACATCAGGTTTCTGAGAAAATATCTCGTCTAAGCGGGCTTTATTTAACGGACTCATTCTGCTGCTGTAAAACATGGCAACCAGGACAGTTGTTGGAGCTGCTCAAAGGTCAACGGTTGTAAATTTAAAATGATGGCGGTCATAAGCCGCAGAGATGACTAATACCTTTTACATTCAGGAGAGAAGAGCAAAGGTCAGAGTGGACCGAGCAAACAACCGGAGTCATTACAAACATGCTTCATCCCGATCCCAACACTGGAGGGACGGATCACTCTTAGATAATCACTTATTTTATGTGTTTTATTCAGTTTTATATCTATGCATTATTTTTATTTTTTCCCCTAGTTTTACAAATAATTTGTACTTAAAAAAAGACTCATTTACACATTGTCCTTCTGTTACATGTGATCACCTGCTAAAATCATCCCATTTGTCCTGTTTCCCTTGCAGACTCTGAGGGAGAGAAGAAAAGCCAATGAAGAGACAGAAGAAAAGTCTGCAGATAAAAACAACAAGTTGCAAGAAGAGGATGAAGACTCTCCTCACAAGCTCTGCAGCTCTGTGGATCTAGACAAGGTGAGTTTCAAGCATTTTTCCTTCATGCTCAACATTGGTCCAATTGCTTTACAGTGGGTCCTACAGTAAGAGAAGAGCCCCAAAGGAAGTGGAGGATGTCCAGTAAGAAAAAGTGGTCAGCAGTTGATGATTGCTCGTACGACTGGCTGCATAAAAAGCACAAGAAGTAGATTTCTGTGCATTCATCGAAGTGACAGTTTTGTAGTAATTTTGAGAGTTAGAAGCAAAATTTTTATGAGAGCTGCTATTTCCGACTTTCCTTCCAAGCATCCAGGTCTTCCAACTTCCATGTTGTTTTTTGAAGATTTCTTTTGGAGTTTTTTCTGCCAGTCTTCACAGAAAAGAGGTCTTTGAGAAGCGTTTTCATTGGAGATGATCTTTAACAATCAGAGCTTCCTTTAGTTAGATGAGGCCAAAGCTGATATTTGGAAAGAGGCAATTTATTATCCAGTTTTCATTTGTCTGTAGAAACCTTCATGCATTTTTTGAAAAAGATCATAAAGTAAACGTATAGATCAGTCTGTCCTGTGTATAGAAATGCATTTGTTCCAGAACTCTTTATTTCAACAACTTAATGTATCAAAAATATATTTTGAAATAAACTCTTGGTTTTTCTGGGAGCGGCATGAGGGGTGGCAGTTTAGGTTATTTACCTAAAGTATACCTTAGACTCTAGGAAGAGGAAAAAGAAGCAAGGAAGGAAGTTAGGATGTAACGTAAGGAAAAATTAAGGAAAAGAAAGAAAGGAAGGAAGGAAGGTAGAGCAGGATGAAGACTGGAAAGGAAGAGGGGTGTAACACCAGGAAAGGAAAAAGGTAAGAGAATAGGGAAGGAAGACATGAATAAATTAAAGTGTGGGTGGAAGGAAGGATATGGATGCACCAGTATAGTATGATAAGGAAGGAAGTGTGGTTGGTTAAATGGGAAGCAAGATCAGATAAATAAAAAGAACTGAATGGAAGAAAAAAAAAAACAGCTGAGGTTCATTGGATAATGTTTAAAAAACAAACTTAATAGTTTGTGACTGTGGAAATGTCCAGACTCCACACATCACTTTAAAATGTCACAAAGAAATTCTGGCTGCTTGAATTGAAAGAAAGAAGAGATCAAAAGGTGGTTTTTCAGTTTTCCACTGTACTGTTTCTGCATCAGTCTTCACCACTAAGATTGCTGGATTCAGGTAAAAACAAACAGTCGATCTGGTTGGAGGGAAGTGAACAGCCATCAGGTCATTCACCCAGGATCTTTTCAAACGGCTACCGTTTATTTGTAGTCCTTAATGTTCTCACCCTGTTAGAGGCATGTGCTAACATGTGAAACACACAGGCTACTACACAACAAGGTTTCATAAGACTGGTTCTTAATGCAGCCTCAGGTAAATGTCTGTTAACATGGTTCACCTGAAAGTGAGATTCATTCATTCATTTACGTTGTCCAACCTGTGTGTTTTTCCACTAGCTGCTGCATAACCAGGTCACTGCATGCCTCCCTGTGCTAATGACAGATTCAACCCGTCCGTCTGGATCGTTCTGTCTCCAGGCAGCAGTGTATTAAATAAGATGATTTCTCTAACCGTTAAGGACATCAGCGAAGGCGTGGCCTACTCCCCAAAGCGTCTGTTTCCAGCTGTGCCCTGGGCTTTAAGAACTGATGAAAAATCTGGTATCCTGATTCTGCAGGTTCCCACATCCATCCTCACTCTGTGACACTCCCTTCACAGAGACGTGCTGTGGTTTCATTTCATCAGGCCCGGGCTAAATCTGTCTAACTCTGCCGGCTTCCATCAAACTCCAGAGGTGTGGTGAAGCAGTTGGGCCGCTGCTGATGCAATCAGCTTTGCATCTATCGAAAATCTTCCCTTTGCCAGCTGTGTGACATGTTTGTCCTTCTGTGAGTGCATGCCTTGATGCATGGATAAGTTTCCGTCTGTTGTCTCACATCAGCGTTCAAATTAGCAAGCAGACCTCACCTTTTAATTATCAATGATTAAAATAATGCAACAGGCAGGAGTTGGCATTTTTATCATTAGGTGTATAGTTAAATTTTACACCTTACAATGCTGAATAATTTAGGAATACAGTCTTAAAGTCGTAGGGAAGTCATATTTACATGTCAAATTGTTCTGGCATAAACATGTATATAAACGTACTCTTTATCAGAAGATATTGTCCCAAAAGTTAGAAAATTTCTATTTAAAAAGATACCGTCTTAAAATCTGTGGGGGTTTTGTCGTTATTTTCTGCAGGCGAGTTATTTATATGTCAGCTTGTACACCTAAATTCAGCCAATCATATATCAACGGTCATCTGTCAATTACATTTTTTCGGTCATAGTATCTTGATTCATATGTCACAGCTAATATACGCAGCGGTTGAAATAAGAAATAAGAATCCATTACTTGAGTTACAACCCACTTTCAGCGGGGATGGGCGTCTGTGTCTTCAGCAGGCTTAGAGCTAACAGAATTGGCAGCATTGCGAGGCAAGGGCTTAAACATGTACGGCTGTAAGCCTTCTACACCAAACCAAGCTTCTGCAGCCCTGGCGTCCTCTTCCACAAAAATCTTGTCCCCACTTTCCTCCTTTAAACAAAAAATGTATGACACAGGAGACTCATGCACGACCTCCCGACACAAAACTCTCCTCTTGCATGATTCCGCTGTCAAACTTGCTTGCGAACCTTCCATCACAACAATCCTGCCCCCTTGATAAACGACCATTCACATTCACTTTATTCACCCGTTTCCCTATGACTTTAGATAACAAATACAAAGCTTTAATTTTAACTTGGGATTAACTAGCATATAATGCAAAAAAATTTAAGCGCTATATGATAGCTAGTCCCAAAGGAACAACTGCAGTCACAGCAGATGATTAAATGCTATCAGGATTACAAAGAAAAAAAAATTATAGTCGACTTGGATGATAAGAACCAAGGGTTTTATTTAAGCATTTCTCCTGCAGGTTAAATAAGCTTGATGAAAAAAATCTTAAATTTTCTCATGCCAAAGTTTTATGATCCATTTAACGGAAAGTAAAGCCTTAAAATTGAAACTTTCCACAAATTGTAAAATGACACCTGAAGTCGGCCTCTATGAAGGATCGGGACATTGCGCCTTTTTTAGTGGGACAAACTTCAGTCAGTTCAAATTTATTACCCTTGGAAAAAAGAAGTGTCCTGGATTGTTATGAGATAAATATAGATCCTTTATCAGGATCAACGCGACTGATAAAGAATCTCACAATAGTGATTCTCTGTTCTCCCAGGAAATGAAAGATCGTAATGAAACTATTTCATTTTTAGTGCCTTATTAAAACATTTGGTCCATCGAAACTCGAGGATCCTTCAGAAGCCCAGGAATAAATGCACGTTGTTTTCTGGGAGGTTAAGGAAGGAATATTTACCCCTAAGTATCTGACTGGCCTCCTCTTTTGTTTTTTTTAAATCTCTTTTGAAAATAGAGCTCTTGAGAAGCATTCTGGGATATATCTGCTCGCCTAGTGAACATGGATGCACACTACTTTTCTACTTTTCAAGGTGCATTGTGGGAAATTATGAGTCCATAACTTTTTTTTCCCCACTAGACATCAGGGCACTCGCATAAAACTGCATAACCCCTACATAGTGCCCTATATAGTGGTTAAGGTGGATGTTTGGCCACAGCCTTGGACTTATTGGTGGGACAGACTCTTGGTGGGACGCACATCCCCCCGCTGATTGAACTCTAGCTATTATAATCACTTTCAGGAAGTGGCTTTCAGAGATGTGAGCGCTTTCTTTACCACATGACAATCATTCTCACTTCTGTTTATTTGCTTTTCTTTTTTTCGTTTTGTTACGGTGCAGGGGAAATTTTTCCTCAATGTGATGACTCATTATAAACAAGAAGCAGCCCATATGCAGACCCTCCTTTACCTGCGCATGGATTTGCTCTTTAGTTGCTCAGTTGTTCTGCATTAACTGACCAAAGCTCACGAGGAAGCAGCTGATCTTTCATCAGTTTAGTTTTCACTTCTTCTTTTTCTTCTTCGTCTTTAGTTGAGGATATTTAACGCCTCGTGGCCCCTCCGTTAGAGTGTGATTGAGATTTTGAGATTTTGATTGATTGTTGATGACCCTCTTCCTGCCTGACTCTATAACAATTCCATTGCTGGCGTCTTTTTTACCTTTAGCGTAGAGTTAACACACAAACATCATGACGGTTGGTTGTTCTGGTGCAACACCTGGCTGCAACTTTCCTGCCCAAATCCTCCAGGCAGCAGGGATGTACTTTTTATTCCCCCATTTTTGCTTAATTTATGTTAAAGAAAAGTTAAGTGTTGAATCTGTGAGATATTTGCCATACAACTAATAAAAAAAAGGATTAATGTAATCAAGGACTAACTGGTTCACTAGTTATAAATAAAATTAAACAGTCGTTTTAATGAGGTTCTTTTGTAGATGATTCTGTGTTGAATCACTGGATGCTTATAAGGTAGAATGCTAAGCTGTTTGCGTGAGTTTATTTACATGATGTTCACTGTTGAGGTGGATATGTAAACGACTGCAGCAAACACACTATTGTGGATTTATGTTTGGGTTTCTCTTACTCTATACCGAGGATTGGCACAATACATCACATGGGTTCTAAATGTTGTCTTTAAATGATCTTAAATAAAAGTGAATTACTTTTACTGGTTATGAAACTGGTCCAGAAGTTTAATCTTTGACCTAAAACTGGCTTTTATCTAACATCTAAAAAGTAAAGCATTTCTCCCCACTTCCCTACCTGAAGCTCCTCATAGGCCACAACCAAAGTATGGCTCTCGTGAGGCTGGAGCCATGAAGAGCTTGTAAAGACTTCATAAAAGTCTCTGCCTGCTGGCCTTTGGACTCAGTATTGAATAATTAAAGTATGTTTTATGGGCTGTATTGAAGCTGCGGAATCACAGACAGGCCCAAGTTAAGAAAACTTCCTGAATGAACCATCCCGTTTGGGTTTTTAACTCTCTGCTGCCATCTGCTGGAGAGAAGGTAACGGCCTACGCTGAAATGTTTCCTGTTTGTTGTGTCTCTGCAGGACCTAGTGGACTGGAGGAAGCCCCTAGCCTGGCAGGTCGGCCACCTGAGAGAGAAGTATGATGCATGGGTTCATCAGCCAGTCGACAGACCCATCCGACTGTTTGGGAACCCGTTCATGGAAGCTGCAACCAAAACTTCCTGGTATTGAACGTTCTTTATTACTGCTAACAATGGTACATTTACAGGTGCTGGTCATAAAATTAGAATATCATGAAAAAGTAGATTGATTTCAGTAATTCCATTTAAAAAGTGAAACTTGTATATTATATTCATACATTACATACAAACTCATATATTTCAGATGTTTATTTTGTTTAATTTTGATGATTACAAATGACAACAAATGAAAATCTCAAATTCATCATATCAGAAAATTAGAATATTGTGAAAAGGTTCAAAATTGATGGCCCCTGGTGCCACACTCTAATCAGCTAATTAACTCAAACCACCTGCAAAAGCCTTTAAATGGTCTTTCAGTCTAGTTCTATAGGCTACACAATCATGGGGAAGACTGCTGACTTGACAGTTGTCCAAAAGACGACCATCGACACCTTGCACAAGGAGGGCAAGACACAAAAGGTCATCGCTAAAGAGGCTGGCTGTTCACAGAGCTCAGTGTCCAAGGAAGTACACTACCAGGAAGTTTTAGAGCACTTCATGCTTCCTGCAGCTGACCAACTTTTTGGAGATGCAGATTTCATTTTCCAACAGGACTTGGCACCTGCACACAGTGCCAAAGCTACCAGTACCTGGTTGAAGGACCATGGTATCCCTGTTCTTAATTGGCCAGCAAACTCTCCTGACCTTAACCCCATAGAAAATCTATGGGGTATTGTGAAGAAGAAGATGCAATACACCAGACCCAACAATTCAGAAGAGCTAAAAGCCACTATTAGAGCAACCTGGGCTATCATAACACCTGAGCAGTGCCACAGACTGATCGACTCCATGCCACGCCGCATTGCTGCAGTAATACAGGCCAAAGGAGGCCCAACTAAATACTGAGTGCTGTACATGCTCATACTTTTCATGTTCATACTTTTCAGTTGGCCAACATTTCTATAAATCCTTTGTTTTTATTGGTCTTCAGTAATATTCTAATTTTCTGATATGATGAATTTGAGATTTTCATTTGTTGTCATTTGTAATCATCAAAATTAAACAAAATAAACATCTGAAATATATGAGTTTGTATGTAATGTATGAATATAATATACAAGTTTCACTTTTTAAATGGAATTACTGAAATCAATCTACTTTTTCATGATATTCTAATTTTATGACCAGCACCTGTATGTCCTAAAATACAGCTTGCTGTTCGTTGTTTTCTTATTATTTTACAGCTTTCACACCTTCAAATTGAAAAAAATCTCTTTTTTTTCCTGTATATTCCATCAAATTGTTTAATGAAAATGTTTGAAATTCTGACATGTCAAATTATCCCACAATATTTATAACTGATCCGACCCTTTAATCCTAGCACATTTTAAACAACTTGAACATGAAACAGGAATCTTAAAATTTTGTGCTTCCCTAACATTTGTAAGTCCTAAAAAAGAAAGTTTAGAAGAAAAAAAAAGCAGGATTACGTGACAAGTGTTTGGTCACACCACATCAGAGTAAAACTGCATCTAGTTTAGAGCTTTATTATTTACATGCCTTTGTTTGATCATATTTCACTTGTTAAAAAGGTATATGCAAATCTTTATTTTGGGATCAACTATGTTTCAGTTATTTTATTATATTGTTTAATTTTGTTTTTCTCCTCACTTAAATACCTGACCTTTTACAAAACAATTGTTGATAAATGAAATGAGGAATTATTGAACTAACATCCCACACAGATAATACAAATAATTAGTAGTATTTACAAATATTTTTATTTTATTATGGCGCTTTCATGCCTTGATGATTTAGCCAGCGTATGGCGACGTCCCAGAATCTTCTAAAACGCTGGCATACGCTGAACTTTATGTATTTTTTCAATTTTGGGCGTATACATAGAGTATTCATAACGAGTCCAGAATTTCTGTCCAACGACAGCCTAACTTATTACATAACGCACAGCAGCGTAATGCCCTTAAAATGTTACAAGCCAGTGTCCTGAGGGGGGCAGCAATGAACCCGGCCTGCATAAAAAGCACACAAAGTAGATTTCTCTAAACTTTGCTGTCACGGTATTAACCTAGCTGCTGTTTACCTCCTGCCAAACTCCTATTCAAAACTCATAGGTTTTGGATAAGCTAGACACCTTGACTTATCAGTAACTCACAATTTTAGTGTGTTAATGGTCACGCAACTTACCCGTAACTTATGGCACACGTATGAACATACGCTGGCATACATCAAGATTTCTTGACGTACTTGTACAGTATGTGGACGTGTGACAGCGTGATAGTGTGCACATAACTTACAAAAAACCTACCCATAACTTATCCAACGTACAGTAGCGTTTTTGGCAGCGTTTTGTTTTTTCATACGTTGCTATATGCTGGCTTTAATTGTCAAGGTGTGACAGCACCATAAAAAAAAAAAATGCTAAAATCTGTTTTCATGGTAAATTTTTTCTATAGGTACTGGGTCCCTGTGGTCTGGCTTCCCATTGTCTTCTATCTTTGCTGGCACTGCTACACCACCCTGGCACAGGGCACCACACGGCTGGAGCTTAGCTCAAGTAGGTAACAGCAGCACACCTTGACGCACAGGCTGCATGTAAATGCATCTTCATCTCAGCACGGATGCATTTCTTTACAGAGTTCTCCATCCCGATCCATAAGTACATGTTCCCATTCCTTTTTCTGTTGGGTTGGTCCCTGTGGACGTTCATCGAGTACTGCATCCACCGCTTCGTCTTCCACATGAAACCGCCGGCTCATAACTACTACCTCATTACGCTGCACTTCCTTCTGCACGGCCAGCACCATAAGGTAAAAAAATGGCTTTATGACGGACAGACATGTTATATATATTTTATTTTTAAACATTTCTTTCTTTTGTAATCCCTTCATAATGTATTCATTCATTTATAACGGGACAGTTCACTGATTCCTTCTTTTGCTTCTACCTTCTGTGGCGTTTCTCCCCCAGTCTCCATTTGATGGCTCTCGGCTCGTCTTTCCTCCTGGTTTGGCCTCCATAGTAGTGGGGATGTTCTACATGACGCTGTGTAAGATGCTGCCGCAGACCCTCGGCGTGTCTGTGTTTGTTGGTGGGCTATGCGGCTACGTCGTGTACGACATGATCCACTACTACCTTCACTATGGCTCGCCAAAGAAAGGCTCGTACCTTTATGGTCTGAAGGCTTACCACGTCAAACATCACTTTAAGCACCAGAGATCAGGTGAGGAAACAGTTTGATTATGAAGGTTGTTGTCTCTACCTTACCTGCTGTAAATAGATCTCAGTTCAGATGTGTTTCCCCACTGTAATAAACCTGTTATATCTGTTATAAGCCTCTAACGTAATAAATCATTATAGATCAAACTGCAGATGTGAGGCTGTTCGGCTCATAGAGCAGTCTTTAAAGGGTCTTTATCCGTCTAAAAGAACAAAGTAACCAAAGAGATCCAAATGGTCCAGTCTGGTCCTCGTTCTGAGTAGATCTTAAAGAGTTTTACACCCAAAACTTACTTTTATCGACCCAGATAAAAGATGGTGAAGTCCATGCTGTCTGAAACACATTGGTTTGTTAAAGTAATATTTAAACCTCATTACTTAGCACAGTTACATTAGTGCATTAATGTCCTACTTTTTGGGGAAAACTCCTGATAAATTTCTTTTTAATCATTTTTGTACCAAAGTTCAAAGAACTTGTCTGCTTTGGGTGAAAAAAGATAATGTTAATTAAAAAAAATACAAATTAAGTAGTTTTTATGGTTAAAACATACAATCCTCTGTGATTTAAAAAGCTTCAACATTTTACAGTAGTAGCCATTCAAAATTTCCTCACTTCTTTGTGGGCCTTTGGCTGGTCCTCTACAATTCCTTTTTATACATCAATCCTTCTACTAAAATATTCTTTGTCATGATTTGTCGACATTATGATCTAAAGAAAAGCATCAGCTCCTGGTCAGACACTAATTTAGTGAAAGGGTGGAGTCAGAGTAACAAAAATGCATGACCAGGACAAGGCCAGTGGCTAGAAGTTTGCGGGGATTTGGCTGGGGAGTAGGCTGCAATTCGGCTGAAGTTTGACTGGGATTGGCCATTTTTAAACGGCTGCTACTGTGCAGTAGAAAGCTGATATTTACCAGTAACAATGACTGATTAGCATTACCATGCTAATTCAAAAGAAGGTCCACATTATTCTAAAATGCTTTAAATCAATTTATCTCACTTTTAGATTTCTTCCACAACAGTTCACTTAAAATAAAGTCAAAGAAAAAATGGCATCTAGGCCTAAATTTATAGCTATTTAGTTGTAAAAGTAACAAACTTGCTACCAAGCCATTAATAAATCAGACTTTCTTATAAATTCTGTCAATTTTGTGTTTTATTATTATTTCAAATCCTCTATTTTTAGTTATCAGTTTTTGCTCTTCCCCTTTTTAAAGTATACAGGTGCTGGTCATAAAATTAGAATATCATGAAAAAGTAGATTGATTTCAGTAATTCCATTTAAAAAGTGAAACTTGTATATTATATTCATACATTACATACAAACTCATATATTTCAGATGTTTATTTTGTTTAATTTTGATGATTACAAATGACAACAAAGGAAAATCTCAAATTCATCATATCAGAAAATTAGAATATTACTGAAGACCAATAAAAACAAAGGATTTATAGAAATGTTGGCCAACTGAAAAGTATGAACATGAAAAGTATGAGCATGTACAGCACTCAGTATTTAGTTGGGCCTCCTTTGGCCTGTATTACTGCAGCAATGCGGCGTGGCATGGAGTCGATCAGTCTGTGGCACTGCTCAGGTGTTATGATAGCCCAGGTTGCTCTAATAGTGGCTTTTAGCTCTTCTGAATTGTTGGGTCTGGTGTATTGCATCTTCTTCTTCACAATACCCCATAGATTTTCTATGGGGTTAAGGTCAGGAGAGTTTGCTGGCCAATTAAGAACAGGGATACCATGGTCCTTCAACCAGATACTGGTAGCTTTGGCACTGTGTGCAGGTGCCAAGTCCTGTTGGAAAATGAAATCTGCATCTCCAAAAAGTTGGTCAGCTGCAGGAAGCATGAAGTGCTCTAAAACTTCCTGGTATGTGGCTGCGTTGACCCTGGACCTCAGAAAACACAATGGACCAACACCAGCAGATGACATGGCACCCCAAACCATCACTGACTGTGGAAACTTTACACTGGACTTCAAGCAACGTGTATGAAGTGCCTCTCTTCTTTTCCTCCAGACTCTGGGACCTTGATTTCCAAAGGAAATGCAAAATTTACTTTCATCAGAGAACATGACTTTGGACCACTCACCAGCAGTCCAGTCCTGTTTCTCTTTAGCCCAGGCAAGACGCTTCTGACGCTGTCTGTGGTTCAAGAGTGGCTTGACACAAGGAATGCGACAGCAGAAACCCATGTCTTTCATACGTCTGTGTGTGGTGGTTCTTGAAGCACTCACTCCAGCTGCAGTCCACTCTTTGTGAATCTCCCCCACATTTTTGAATGGGTTTTGTTTCACAATCCTCTCCAGGGTGCGGTTATCTCTCTTGCTTGTACACTTTTTTTGACCACATCTTTTCCTTCCCTTCGCCTCTCTATTAATGTGCTTGGACACTGAGCTCTGTGAACAGCCAGCCTCTTTAGCGATGACCTTTTGTGTCTTGCCCTCCTTGTGCAAGGTGTCGATGGTCGTCTTTTGGACAACTGTCAAGTCAGCAGTCTTCCCCATGATTGTGTAGCCTATAGAACTAGACTGAAAGACCATTTAAAGGCTTTTGCAGGTGGTTTGAGTTAATTAGCTGATTAGAGTGTGGCACCAGGGGCCATCAATTTTGAACCTTTTCACAATATTCTAATTTTCTGATATGATGAATTTGAGATTTTCATTTGTTGTCATTTGTAATCATCAAAATTAAACAAAATAAACATCTGAAATATATGAGTTTGTATGTAATGTATGAATATAATATACAAGTTTCACTTTTTAAATGGAATTACTGAAATCAATCTACTTTTTCATGATATTCTAATTTTATGACCAGCACCTGTAAACTATGCAAAAAAAGTTTTTTTTTTTTAGACATTTTCTTTTGGTTAGTGAATGCAACAAACATTTAAAGTTTTCAGGCGGTCAAGCTGACAGCCCACTTATAATGAATTCATTGTTTTTGCTCAAACCTTTCTGCCTCATTCCTCCATCATTTCTGGGATTCTCAACTATAGAAACTTAATGGAAGAAAATGTTTTCCCTTTTTTTTTGTGTGCAGGTTTTGGAATCACAACCACATTCTGGGATCATCCCTTCAACACAGCCATCCCCGATGAGAAATTCTAACCTACAAACGGCTCTTCTGAAGGGGCCTCTGGACTTATCAGCCTCCCTAATTAGTGACCCGTCCACCTGTTTTACCCCCCGGCTGTTTAAGCACTGCAACAGCCGACTCATCCATATCGCTTTAACACAATAAATTTTCTTCAGATCATTCATACCTGTGTGAGGACCAGCCTGCTCGGATCTCACTTTGATTGTTTTTGCACTTTTGGTGCCATTATTAATCAACAGACGGATGCTTCATGATACAGACCCTGTCAGCTAAACATTGACCAGATTAGCAGCTAGAATATTCACCAAGCTTACTGTGGAAATCATTTGTAATAAACATGCAAACAGATTGAAATGCACACATGCTAAAGCGCAGAGGGGGAAAAGGAAGTGGCAGATGGTGGGTGGATGTGGCAACAGGTGTGTGAGCATCAACGAATCATCGTCCCTGTTAAAGCAACTCAGGAAAAATCACTTTGAATGTTTGTTGTTCTCCCTTTAAGGAGACCAACTCACCAAAGCACCTGCGAACACAAAAACTTTGTTTTCAGATATCTTGATCCAGTCAGGCTTTAATTTATTAAACATCTGAGTTCGGTTCTACTGTAATTTGAGCTGCTGCTCCAGATGTTTGAAACATGCACATATTTCTGCTGTAATATTCCCTGTTTTCTTTTCCTCCCTGTTTGATTTCATAATGTACAAAAATAGTCTTTATTTTTAGAATGTTTTGTACAAAAGAGGAGATGCTTTCATTGTATGAGATCAGATGTCTGTGAATCGGTGGGATGGATTAAAGGAGGAACAATGTAAGGTGTCAGAGGGATGGAGCTGAAGGAATGAAGCACAGCTGTTGGACGTACTGCTGTAGAGATCTGGGGGTCAACAGTTACAGAAAATTACTCAGAAACAGACTGGAAAAGGGAGACAAAGGCCTCTGGTTGGTTGTTGCTCAAATTTAAGTAAGGTGAGGAGAGCAATGGTTGACCTTCTCAATAAACCTCAACAGTAGAAAGCAGTTTGTAGTAAGAGCAGCAGCTACTGCCATCTAGAGGTGACTGGTGGGACTAATGTTAACTAACTATTTAACAGAGAGAAGCCCAACGAGCTTTTTCAGTTATTGTGACAAATTCTGCATAGATAAATAATGCCTGCAGCTTTATATCTTTAACCCACGGCTCAGACTCTGTCGGCATCATTCCTACAAATCCCATCAGGTTTCATAGTCTTGACCTTCAAAGATCATTGTGGATGAAAACCTTAGGGAAAAAAAACAAAACAAGGTGTCCACCTGCTTCAAATATTGATATTTGTGTAAAAAAAAAAATGTAAACAACCACTTTATGTCCATGTTTTTTCTTCAGTCTGTCTCTGAGCTGTTTTGTTTTAATGGTTCCACCTGGGTGTGAAGCTGCCTGCTTATCTGACCCTCAGGTCCCTGCAGAGGGTGATAATTGAACTATTTGACTCGACAGCAGGACGTCCTGACAGCTGCCAGCTGATCTTCAGCAGATTCCCACAAGCACACCTAAGAAAGGAGAACCGATAACTTCAAGCAGAACAAACATAAACCAATAACACGCAGAAATCTCCTGCATAACTTCATTATAATCAGCTTCAGTACAGATTAGACTCACAGGCACAAGTGTATAAAACAAACATATTTTAGGTAACCATAGGTTATGATGAGTTGCATTTTTCAGTAAAAATTAGTTAAACAGAGGGGGTGTGGCCGTTTGGACAACAACCAGGGAGCGGAAAAGAATGAGTTCTAACTGATCCGTTAATGTGTTGTTTTGTCAACAATTAATTTAAAACCAAAACACTGTTTTCTTATAAATAGCTAAAAAATGTCATGATATAATAACTAAAGAGCTGATTTAAACTCACACCCTGCTCATCAGAAGGGTTTTTTTCAAAACCAGGGGACCAAAAAAATGTATAAGAATTTTCTATCATCTATAATTTTAGAGTTAATAAAAGAAAGATAATGAGAAATATTTCCATTTGTTGGAAAAAGAGATATAGTGATTTATGTACATTTATTTGAAAAAGAAAACTCTTATTCTCACCTGTAAACTTCTTTGTGCTAAATAATGCAACATAAATAATTATATTTCCAGAATCTGTTTACTTTGTCAAGTTTTATTTTGGAATTTCTATGCAATGGCAAACATGTTTGTAAATAAATGTATATTTCTGAAACGGGTCTGTCCTGTCATTCTTTTTATTAACTAAAATGTTTTATATCAAAATATTTATAAACAACATTTTGGTTTTAATATACCTTTTATGAATTATTGATTTCATTTTATTCTGAAATTTATTTTGCACAATTTGATAGTTCAGAGAGTAAAAAGGAGTTAATTTTACAGTGAACGGTTTTAAGTCTACTTCTAATAATTCTGATTATTATGGCTCAAAATGATAAACACAAAATTCAGTGTCCGTTAAAAGAGGAACACTTTAAAAATTTTAAAATTTGGAAATTGATGCTGTCCCACACTAATCAGCAAATCACCATCTAAAGGTTTCCTGAGGCCCATCAGTCAATAGAGTAACAGAGGAGGAAGACTGCTGTCTGGACAGATGTCCAGAGGACGGCCATTAGCCATGCTACATGAACAAAAAAGTAATCCAAATACATATGGGCACAAAACCATATAATCTGCTCATGGTTTGCTTTTATTGCACCAAGCTTTATTCAAAACTGAAGCACTCTCATATAGAGGTTTCATATTTCCACTTAACCATGGAAGTGTTGTCCCATGTATGAATTATTTCCACATACGAACTGTCCCAGTTAAGGCAAAGGGTCGGTCAGGATAAAGTGTTTTGTTTGTTTTTGCGTCTGTAATTCAATTCATATGAATAAGTAAAAATTGTTATTTAAATGTAAAAATCAAGTCTAGATATCAAACATCTGAATATTTGTGTTGCTTTGTTAAATTAGAGACGCCAAGCATGATTCCTGCTGATCAAAATCAGACTAAATCTTTATTATTAACTTAGAATAAGTTTGGGAATAAAACTATGAGATCTCCAGACTGAAGTGGAACAGAAGGATATAACTACATTTTCACTAAAGTCATTTACAATTTAGTCATAATCAAATATGGTGCGCATTCATGTTCAACTGAGGTTTCTCAATCAACTCTGGTTGACTGCACAGTCTGTAAGCGACAACATTAATGAACTGAACCTGTCTTGAATGCTTGGTATTAAGCAAGCCAGGCATCCTTTTGGTGAAACCCAGCAGCGACCTACCATTTTGCACCTCAGCTGAGTCAAAATTGGGAGTTTGAGTCTGATTTTTCTTAGCAAGTTTTATAAAACACCCTTCAAGTGAGAAGTTATGATCTCTGATGGGTACTTTTAATCATTTCCAACATCTATTTGAGAAGAGATGAAGTGAATAATACGAGGAGCCAACATTAAAGAGTCCTGATATAATTGTGTTAAATTTAATTCCAAGAAAATAGTTCCTCTTAATTCTACTAAGGAACATTGAGTGAAATAAAAACCTTGCTAAGTAAATGTACCTCGAAAATCAGAACAGAATTCAAACACAAAAATGTTAGACGTGTGATCAGAAAACTCCACATGATTAAGCTTGACCTGATTAAATGCAGATAGGATCAGTTTACAGGAGCTGAGGTTTGCTTGTTGTTCTCAGACTGCAGATCTATTACAGATAGATTGGTCAAAGGTATGAGCCATGCCTGTAGTTTAACAGGTTCATGGCCGTTAGAAAACATCCAGGCCTGTGTTTACACTTAAAAATCTGTTTTTGATTTTTTCATTTCAAGTCCAAGGTTTTCCACAGCAAAACCTAAGTCAGACACCTTCAGGAATCCTTGTGGGTTATTGCTCATTCGTAGCCGACCAGTCCTCTATCATGCCTCCGCTAAAAAAAGTAATTACAACATGTCATGCAACAAAAGCACAATTTGTGAGACCAGATGGATACAGGGAACATCCTTCTGTTTGCAGCACAAACAAGAACCTTTTGTTTGCAGTAAGGTGATGCATATGAGGAGAGTGATACTGCTGGGGTAACAGCATCAGAGGAAATTATGCTGAGAGAGAAGGCTTGCTTGGTTCTAGGAAATCCTCTAGAACCTCCAGAGATAATTTCCCATAGAAAAATCCACAAAAGAACATTATGGACAACAGTGAGCATCCTCTTTAGAGGATTGTTAAACACCAGAGTGTCTTTATTCAGAGGCTTCTCCAAATCCGGTGCAAGACAGACCGCTACAGAAGATCCTTCCTGCCTGCATGTATCAACCATGTTTCAGTTTGTTAACAGCTTAAGCGATTTTGTTAACCAATTACTTTAATAATGTAGCAACCTTCTCAGAATACCATAAAGAAAATGCAATAATGTGAAGGCAGAGTAAAATACTTGGGATGGCTGCTGAGTTATTATGACTTATTATAGATTGGTAATCAGTATTATTACATAACTGACTCAAACAGGATTCAGAAACACAATTAATGGAAAATAGGTACAACATAAACATCCAAAATACATGAAAATTATACCCCACTGCCATAAAGGAAGCTAGTCTGAAATGTTTGCACCTCACTATAAAATGAGGGTAAAAAAGAAAAAGAGGAAGAACTAAGGGACTACAGATACGACAGGAGACCTCTGAAACGGGTCTTTAACAAGAAAACGGCAGATGCCGTGTGGTGAAACTGAAATATTTCTGAAAGCCAAACCAGAAGTCCAAGTGTTCCACAGCAAACCTTAAGTAATAAGTTATAATAATATGTAATAAGACTGATCTTAGTTTTTTTTTTTTTTTTGCACATCTCTGGTGTTGCTTCTATTTTCATATATCCATTACTGTAAAAATGTCAACAGCTGTTATTGATACAATAATCCGTTTATTTTCCTATCTGTTATTTTTATACACTTTTCTAAGGTGCACATTCTGTGACCACTTCTACTATAACCTTATTCTGTTGTAAACACCACTATTTCCCCATTGTGGGAAAATAAATGAATTTTCTACTCTTCTATTATATTCTAACACCTAAACAGAACCAGGGCCAAAACAGACTGGGATACAGATCAGGATCCAGCCAGAGGACAAGGCTGGGATGGAAGGAGAGCTCCTAACAATGTTATTTAACAAGGAGGTGATTATTTTAATATACGACCAGGTCGGTTTAATAAAATAATACTCTATTAAGTTGTCATTGTCTCAGGAAAATTTATTTGATGTAAAACAGTGTAAATCTGTGAGGAGGGGGAGCTTTTTATTCGCCCCTGTGTGTCTCATTAGGAGACTCTTTGTTGTGTTTTCTATGACATTTAAACTACGGAAGAGGATTAGGGTCACTGAAAAAAATTATTTTTTTTACATTTTATTTTAGTATAATAAGACAGAAAAGTCAGAATTCTTACTTTTTTCTCAGAATTCTTACTTTTTTCTCAGAATTCTGACTTTTTTCTCAGAATTCTGACTGTTTTACTGACAGGTAACAAACATGTTAGTATCAAGCTGTAGCCATGTCCGTTTTTGAGATTATCTCTCTTGTTTTAATCACCTTCTGCTCTTCCGTAAATGAAGTAGCATCACCGGGGACCCTTCGGGCAAGTAAAAAGTTGCCTAATTGCGTCATTTTCCACCAATGTGTTACTGGCCCTCCAAAACAACTCACATCTTTTTCAGTGAAGCAGAGTGCTCCCACATCTCTTCCTTTGTCCATCTACATTAAGATCCACAATTCTGAGATTAAAGTTGGAATTCTGAGACAAAACTCAGAATTCTAAGATTAAACTCACAATTCTCAGAAAAAAAATCAGAATTCTGAGAAATTCAGAATTCTGAGAAAAAGGCCAGAATTCTGAGATTATAAAAGTCAGAATTGTGAGATTTTTTTTTCAGTGTCTCTAATCCTCTTCCCTATTAAACAAACTGTAGCATCTGTGGATGTTTTTTCTTTTTCAGCTTTTATCAACATAACAGTCAGCCTAGGGGCAGTAGGACCCAGGGCAGCTGCAGCAGCAGCATTTAAACAGGCAGCTGGTAGCAGGGAGGAGCGTGGAACACCAAACAATCGTCCACGCCCTGCTGAGAGTGAGAAGTTCCTCCGCATTCCTGTCAAACAAACCCACACACATCCAGAAAGCTGGGAGGAATCAGTCTCTGAGGCTGGGTAAGTGTCTGCAGACCGGCTCCTCTCTGCTTTCTCCTCTGATAATCTGCCTTCACAACACTTTCTGTTTCTATGCATTCAGACAGGAGTTTGGGCCTGAAGAAGGACCGGAACCAGAACCACCCCATCATCATCATCATCAGAGTCCTGCCAGGTGTTGTATTTCCTGACTCACCCCCTTTCTCACCCCTGAATGCCTCTGAGTGTCAACACCCGATCAGAAAACCTCCCATAGCAGGAAGTATTTAACCTTCCTTAGGAGCCTTATTTAAGGCTTTCAGCGGATAGAACCACAGTTTCCTGAAAAATTAGGTGCAGATCCGCGTCTAATGTCTGCAGCGACTAACTGAAACTAACTGAAGTCTGCTCAGGGTAGCATGCAAATGTTAACCAACAGATAATGCAAACAGGGAAATGAAATGTTTAAATTAGGACTGTTATATGACTGCATAGGAATATGTAATGGAAAACAAAAAAGTCAATTCATGGATGGTTTTAGACTGGTTATAGCTCAGTTATTACAGCTAAATTAACTTTGGGATTTTTGTTGTTGACGTTGTTGAAATTAGTTCCTGAGAAGCTTTTGTTTTGATAAAGGTCTAAAAGTTGTGGTAAACTTAATGTTTTAATAGTTCCTTAAACTGTAATGACCTGCAGTTTTTTTAATGTTGGCCGCTGTCTATTAAGATTTGTGTTGATTTCGCTGATATGCATAATAAAAAAAAAACATTCCCAGGTAAATAATATACATTTTTCTTCCTTATAACAAGTTGTGGCATCAGTGGATGTGAGATCGAGGGCGTTTCTTTCCACTTTTTAACAGATCTGACAGAGTGTCAGTTCATAGATGCAAATATACTGTTCCACATTAAAATTAACAGGTCGCATTAAAACCATTGGTCTATTTTACAGGGATTTATCATACCAGAACCAAACCAGGCATGTCCAGATACGACTTTTTACATTTCCAATACTATATTGATATTGCAGCTTTATGTATTGACCCCTACTGATATTGATCCAGTGTGATATCAGCACAATCAATCATACACAGTTTTTGCTCATTTTCTAGTGTGGAAAGTTATTAAAGGCTTGATATAGTGGTATTACTCAAACAGAGAAGAATAGTCAACACAAACTTTAAACAAAAGCTGATAGAAGCGAAGTGTTTCTAGCAGCTTGCTTGTTATGGGGATTTTAGATCTAAGCTGATAGCTTCTGATATTCATTAATTGGTTGATATTAAACCTATTTTAGATACAAGTATTGGATCAGGACACCCCTAAACAGAACTATAAAACAGTTTTCCAATAAAGGATGTCTATGAAAATAGATTCTCTCGACTCGGATGCTCAAATGGACTTTGACTAGGCCACTCGTACACACACTATATAGACTTAAACTGTGTCACTGCACCCTACCTGACCATGTTTCTTTGTTTTCCTGATCCTGCTTATTTCACGTTCTCCAACGAACCTCTAAGGTCTGCAGGGCAAACACTGAGCCGCCTAATTAGGAGTATCATGCAGAATACAAATGCAAAAATTAAAACTTAGAAACGTCTTTGTGTTGTGATCCCAACGTAATGCATTAAAGTTATGGTTTACAATGTGACCAGACTTCACTACACAGTCCTATATTTGTGGGGACTCTTTAAGATGAGCCGCTGCACCATTCACCCTGAAACAGGTAACAAATTGCAGGTAACAGAAAGTTTAATTATTGAACAAACAAGCCAAATTTGCCTACATACATGAATAACATCAGTATTTTACTTTTATATTACTAATAATAACTGATATTGAAAGGACTGAGGTTAAAAATCCTGAATGGACAGCTTCTATGGCCATTTTAAAACTTACTTTCCTAACAATCTGACAACAGGGATACAAAAAGAAAAAGAAAAATACTTTTTATGCTATTTAACCGTAAAAGGTAAAGCGTTTGGAAACACGAAAGGAGAGAAAAAAAAAACAAAAGCCGATAGCGGTAACATTAACAAGCCATCTGACAGAATCAGAAAACTTAGAGGGGCAGGGATGCTCATACTGGTTGTGTTTTGTTCCCAGTCTGACCATGAATAAGGCAGGTGATGATGATGAAGGTCAACCTGGAGGTCAAAGTGAACCAGCCCGACAGTCGGTGGGGAAGGGGCTGAGCAAACTGAGCGCCCCATCCTTCACACCAGGGTGGAGCAAAGCCAGCTGCCCCTGCTGTCACTCAGAACGTGTCGACCCGCTGGTTCTGGTGAAACTCGGGGAGAAGGTCAGCCCCGAGACGAAGCGCTGGCTCATCAAACTGATCGGAGCTCCTCAGAAGGATGGAGGTAACATCTCGATTTACAGCGCGGAGGAGATTAAATGTTTATGAGCATCTTAGAGTTGAAACAAATCAATGGAGCCAATAAGTGGTTTCCAGGAACACATGTTTTGCATTCTCAGGATTTACTGTCAAACTGTAAACTACTTTAAAACACGTTTCCCTCCAGGTGCCGGGTTATTGGCTCACCCAGGAGAGGAAGCCACTGGTAACATCATTGTTCTGTCTGCGTCACGCTGCACATTACTGCAGGCCACAGAAGAGCTGGGGCTGTGTAAGATGTACTGCAGCGGTGACATGGAGGCCTTCGCCTACGATGACAGGAACAACTTCAGAGATTCAGGTAGAGCTCTAGGAGCAACTGCACAGGTGCCACTTTGCATTCGCTTTTGAAAAACTTTTTATACGCTTCACTGCTGTGGCTTTATAAGGTAATCGTAGTTTAAAAGCAACCTAAACAGGTGTCCTCCGTTCTCCCAGACTGTTAATGTCAACGTAGGCCAAATACGCCCAAGCTTTGGATCCTCATGAACTATTTCAGGAAAATGCTGAACAGCAACATTGTAAATCCTTTAATGTCTCACAAGGAGTAAATTTACTCTCTGCATTTAACTCATCCCCATGGGGAGCAGTGGGCTGCCATTGTGGAAGTAGTCTGGGGTTAAGGGTCTTGCTCAGGGACCCAGAGTGGCAGTCTGTGGGAGGTAGGGCTGCAACTAATGATTATTTGTAAATTATTTTTCCGATTAATCGATCAATAATCGGATAGCAAAAGGTTCCTTAAAGAGGATTTTTATTGCAATTAAAGCCAGTGAAGCTCAAGCTTCTCTATCTACTTGAAGAGTTCTGGTTAGAGCATATTGAAAGGTGAAAAAGTTTTTTTTTATCTCAAATGCAAAATATTTATTAATTTTTTTTTTTTTTACAAAGTTGGTATAATTCCTGCTCTAAGTAGGTCACTCTGTCAGCTAAAGGCATGTTTTAGAGTCTCTATACTCCAGTTAACAGTTAATCGAAGTTTATATTTGTTGACGATTATTTCAAGAATCGATCAATAACGATTAATTTGAGTAATTGTTTCAGTCTTATAACCAATAAATGTCAATAAAATCTAAAAATCATATTGTCAGAAACAAGGTTGGGACTGAGGAAACAAAAGCATTCCTTGAAATGGAGTTTATAGTTTATTTATAAGGTTTTCATTTTATAGTCTAGTTGCAATGTCAGCTGTTACCATAGAAGGATAAAAAATATATTAACATTTATTTATAAATAATTAACTAAAATGAGTGTTTAATCAGTGGTCTGGTCACATCAGCTTTATGGCGCCCTGTGAACAGAATTACCGGTCATTGTCTGCTGAGTTTATGACACTACTTCTGACACGCCTTAAGAAATTAGAATAAACTGTGTTACAGGCTGCAAAGTTAGCAAGAAACCATTTCATACTAAATTAGGGAAGTTTTGCTTATTAACTTTAAATAAAATAAAAAATTGCAACCAAATTCTGAATCTGATGTTGAGGATAATGACTTCCCTACGAAGGAAGCAGCAGCCGTAGTTCTTCCTGTGCAAACATCAGATGGGTGACCTTATGGCTGCTCGTCCACATTGGGTGACACTGTAGCTAAGGGTTGAATGTCTATCTTATCTTCCCCTCAATGTGATTCTGTGACTCAGCTAAGGTAATGAACCTGACTGGATATTTACAGCCTTACGTAAACAACCTGATGACCTCTACTAAACATGGCTCTATGATACAACTAATGGAACCAAAAATGGGTGTGTGTTTATTGGGGGTATAATACCAACGGATCGTTTTGCTGTTTCTACTTTATAAGAGGTGACTTTTTTATCTATATTAAAATATTTTAACTGTAATGTTTTATGTGAGTATTTTTAGAGTTATTTTTACAGTTCTTCACAGGTTTGTTATAAAAATGTCAAAAGTTTCTGGGCTAAGTCTTCCAAGGTTCCAAATATTTATTTTCATGTTTCAAAATATATTACCGTAATTTTCGGACTATAAGCCGTGACTTTTCCCCCATTTTTTGACCTTGCGGCTTATATAACAATCCGGCCTATCTATGGACTTTTACAGCTAACGGCCACTAGCATGATACCTAAATCTATGGATTTTACCTTCCACCATGTTGACGTCACATTTGCTTCAACACACAAGTACGGTAGCCGCGCAAGCGGGAATACGGAGGTCCTCCGAATGCAGACTTCTACCGTGAGCTGTATGAGACAGAACGACAGCGAGAAAGACGGACATTGCAAGCGCAAGACAGTTTGTGTGTAAACATAAAAAAACCTGCGGCTTATAGTCCGGTGTGGCTTGTATATGTACAAATCATGCACTTTAGCTTCTGCGGCTTATATTCAGGTGCGGCTTATAGTCCGAAAATTCCGGTAAAAGGAAAAGGTTCACCAGTAATTTATGGAAGAGATTTCTGTAGTTTATTCTTGTTAGGTGTGGAACCTGTGAAAAAAACAAACAGGAACATAAAATTGGAAAGAAAGACATTCAGGACACAAGTAGAGGCAAATGGAAGAAAGAATATGAAAAAGATAGGATCCAAAGTAGGAAGGAAGGAGCTATATAATTATGAAACAAGAAAGGAAAGACAAGCCGGTAGACAAATTACAAAAAGGAAGGAATGGAGAAAAAGGATAGGACAAGAAAATATGAAAGATAAGGAGGAAGGAAGAAATGTGGAAAAAAGGAAGAAAGGGTAGAAAGATGCTAAAGAAAAAAGCAGGAAAGGAAACAAAGGAGGTCTTATTCATTTATTTCCTTATCCGTTTCCACTTATCCAGACATCAATTAAACTCAAATTTTTAAATGCTGTATAAAACTGTCATGCATCAATCCAAGAGCATAAAACAATTACCTACAGTATTTCTCTGCGTGTTACATTCTGAATATTCCCATGGGTGGCAGACAACATGGAGGCGTTTCTGACGCTGGCGGAGCGACAGTTCATCATAAAGTACGAGCTGGACGGGCTGCGGGCGCAGAAGGACCTCAGGATACCCGGCATGCTCGATAGCTGCGTACTGCAGAAGCGAGACAACATCTGTGAGTATCCTGATTGTGTTTCATAGCACTACAGAGAAAGCAGACACTCACATGCTACTGGATCATTTCCTGCCTCACCCAACGAAAAACACAAAACACCACTGTTTAGATTTCAGATGGAGAAGTTTTTTTTTTTGAAATCATGCTCTACAGCCTGTTGGTGTCTGAGGATTTAATCCTCACAAATTTCATATCAATTACCAGAGTTCCTCTGCTGTTTCAGGATTCCTGTTCTTTTCTTCACCCTCTGTACCCTCAGAGCAAACATCTGATATTGGTGCCAAACAAGGCGAAAGTCAGATCTTTTATTAAAACAAACTTAAGCATTGTGTATAAATTGTCTAAAACGTTTTACACACAAGTTGAGATGCATAAAATTGAACATTGCATGAATGTGTGTGAGAAGTCATGCAAACCTTTGACCTATGGTAACGATGTTGAACATCCAGGAGGATCCATGCGTTGCTGGAGCTACTTTCAACCAGAGCATTTTAGAGTTAGCTGGCTGACATGTTATTAGTTCCCTCTACACTGTGTCATGTCAAATATATGGGATAAAACGGACATATATATAATTAAGTTACACTATGGTTAAAAAAGCAGCATATAGCAGAATCAGGTCCAATGTGCTTAATACAGCTCTTCCCAGCTTCCTATTGATATCAACTGAAAAACCTGAACCTAACACTATATGTCTTAAAGATAGGAATTCAACTCCTGCTATGTTAATGACATTTCCTACCTTAAAGTAGTAACTTACTTCGCTCCAGGGCCTTAGTTCCGCCCACATGTATTTGAAAAATGTTCCAACGAAGGCGTAACCTAAAAGAACGCAGAACATTTGTGGGTGGGAGGGGACTGCTGTATTAGATCTGAAATGTGATTGACATTTGGACACTGGCAATGAAAAACAAGGCTGGCTTGAAATGCTATCCATAGTTTCAGTATTTATAGACATATTTACTTAAGCTTTCATCAACTTTGCATTTACATCTGAATGTACAGCTTAAAATCCCGTTTCAGTGAATCCAAACTTTCAAATTTTATTCTATTGAGTTTTATCCCTCTGGGGAATGAGATATTTTACTTTCTGCTTTATCCACAGCAGATCTTGGACTTTTCTTCATTATCTTTCTGCAATTTCCAAACTCCCTCGCCTTCCTTGCTTTGGCTTCTTGACCAATCTAAATATGTCCAATGTTTTATTCTCTGTTATTTGATTTTGGTTTGGTAAATACACAGACAAAGGATTTATTTACTAACAAACTGAGTAAAAGTAAAGCGGAAAAAAAAAAAAAAAAAAAATACAAAGGATACGGCAGCAGAATGCAGGAATAAAAAAAAAAAAAAGAATGTGCAACCAAAGTGAGCTCTGGGTGTAGAAGTATGAGAAGTTAAATTGTTCTAGTTTTTAGGGCTGAAACAATGAATCGGGATTAATCCATCCATCAATTTTCTTACACGCTTGTCCCGATCGTGATTAATCAATTATTGAAATAATCATCAACTAATTTAGTAATCAAGTAATTGTAACGTGAAATATAGAGACTCTATAAGATGCCTTTAGCTGACAGAAAAACCCACTTAGAGCAGTAATAATACCAAGATTTTAAGCAAATATGTTAACATTTTGCATTTAAGGTAAAAAAACAGAAAAAAATATAGTTTGTCAATATGTTCTATCCACAACTCCTCAAGTGGAAAAGTTTGAGTTTAACCTAGTTTAATTTTGTAAAAAGTCTTTAAAGAATCTTTTGCCATCTGATTAATAATCTATTAATTGAAAAAATAATCCACAGATTAATTTATTTTTAAAACAATCATTAGTTTCAGCCCTACTAGTTATACCAGACGACTGAAAGTCAAAATTCTAAATTCCAAGTCATCAATTTTAACTGAAACGACCCTGAAACTTGGAAATACGAGTTGGAAAGTTGTTGTAACAGGATAATACCAGACTTTCAGATTCAAAATAGATTCTACTTGCATTGACAGTAGTAAACATGTCTTATTTAATAGTTATTAGAAGGTTACCATTGTTTTTCAGGCATGAAAGAAAGATAGTAATTCAGATACTGCCTGTGTTTAGACAATGTTTCAATGCTGTATATGCTTGGACTAATAGAATATAAGGGTCTACAATCAGAACAGTGGAGCGCACCTCAAATATCAGTCCAACTAGTTACACTGGAAAAACAATCTACAAATAAGTATAAAATGTCTTAAATTAATTGTATTTACCCTTGATTTGAGTAGGTAAATGAGGTAGTTTGCCAATGGAATGAGTATTTTTACTCTTTCAATAAGATGATTAGATAAAATGTACTTGAAATAAGACAATGGAATTGTGTTTTCTTATTTTTATATGTAAATTATCTTGTTCCATTGGCGAAATGTGTCTTTTAACTCCTCAATCCAAGAACAAATGCACTTATTTTAAGAAAAAAATTACTTATCTAGATTTCAGTTTTTTCCAGTGTAAATTTGAGGATAATGGAATGCACCATGAATCACGAATGTCACAAACACTAAATCATTTTTTTCTGAGCCAGGTGAGTCCAGTCTGCACGGTGAACTAATGAGTGCAGACTAAACTCACCTGGTTCGGTAGCTGGGCAGAACAAATACATGACCTAGAGATGACTTGATAGCTCCACATCTCCTACCTCTGAAGGCCAGTGACAAACCATGAAACCAAACATTTAAAGATTAATCTGAAATCCTTAAGCCCTCAGATACATAGAAACTGGAAATTATTACATTCATAAAGAACAAATCAACACATGAAATGTGGGGAGGATTAACGATATAAAATTTAATATTTTGAGCTAGAGTTTTACATATTTGATTTCTGGAGAGGAGCATGCTTGTAGCGACAGTGGAGAGGAAAACTCCCTTTTAACAGGAAGAAACCTCCAGCAGAACCAGACTAAACATGTATATGAGGCTCACAATTAGAAAAAAAAAAGTTTCCCCCTCTTATTACCTTCCTCCACCTCTAAGCTAACATGTGCTCACAATCATGCCCTTTATGATGTCATGTGGGGACACCAAGGATCTAAACAGACATGGCTAAGCTAAGAGCTAAGCAGGGCAGCTGCTCTGTTTTAAGTCTCTTCACCTGAGCTCATGAAGACTCAGTGGATGGATTTTATTTTTGATGAAAATCTATCTTCTGGCTGGCTGCTGTTGTCTGCCTAATCTGAGAAGAATTGTCCTGCTCAGCTAAAACATGCTCCGCAGGGCTCATTGTTAATAATTTTTATTGTGCGAATGTACTATAACACGGGAGCTTTAATGTTATTTTGAGGTGGATGCGTTTCTCTGATATGATGACACCTTGTCCTGCTTGCTGCAGGGCAGAAGCTGGGAGCAGCTGGTGTGATCGTAGACACATTTCCTCTGCACAACCCTGACAAACTGAAGGTTCTCAGTGAAGCCTGGTACACAAGTAACCAGCTTGCTCAGCCACTGGGTACGTCCGTATGAATAAACGGCCGAAACAAGCAGATAAACCAGATTTGATGACAGAAATGTGGCATTAATACTACAAACTCCTTTCTGTTGGTTTTCTTAGACAAAGTAAACGAGTACTTTGGAAGCTCCATGGCTTTCTACTTCAGCTTCCTGGATTTCTACACCTGGTCTCTACTTCCACCGGCAATACTGGGTCTTTTCATCGCATATTACTCAAGTAGGTTTAAGTCGTATTGTTTGATTTTCTGTCTTTATGATGAAATTCAACAAATTTTACTGTTCACAAAAGGTAAAACAGAACCAAAAATTCTTCTGATTGAACATTTAATAATGTAATAAAGGGTAAAATGTCAAAATTCTGCTCATTTTAAAGTGAATTTTTTAATTAGATCTTTTTTTTAGTGCAGTGATCATCAGGGTCCTGATAATTTTGGGTCTAGTAGATTCAAACACAGGATTCCTGTTTGCATAAAATAAAATAAAAAATACCTTTCCTATCCATTACAGGAGAAGTTCAGAGAGAGATGCTGCAATCAGTGTCAGGTTCTCAGGATGAGGAGCCTCAGGATGAACCTGAACCTCTGATCAGCGGTCACATGCTGCAGGCAGTGTTCAGCATGCTCTGGTCCACGGTGGTTATGGAGCTCTGGAAACGCCGCAGCTCTGCACTGTCGTACCGCTGGGGAACCCTTCACCTAGCCGAGCGCTTTGCCGAGCCGCGGCCGGGTTTCCACGGCGACCTTGGGGTCAACCCTGTGACCGGCCGAGTGGAGCCACTATTCCCCGAATGGAAGAGGGACCTGCGTATGGCACTTGTGTCTGTCCCGGTGGTGGGGCTGTTTTTAGGTAAGTTTTCCCAACCAAGAGTTGGTTTCAGTCAAAGTTCCTCAGACGCTTGTTATACCCAGTTATACCCAGTATGATTTATCTCGCAGGACTGGTGGTTCTGGGAATGACATGTTTCTACTGGGCTGAGGCCAGTGTGCAGCAGCTGCACAAAGACTGGGACTCCATGATGTCTCAGGCTTTACTCTTTGTGCCGTCAGTCCTCCATATTGTCTACACCAATATGTTGGCCACAGTCTACAGGACGCTGGCCCGATCTCTGACTGAATATGGTGAGCAGTATGGAGAGAAAATATCTTTTATTTATCTAGTAAAATGTTTGTCTCTACACATTAACAAGCAGTTGGAAAGGTATACCTAATAAGGTAACAAGAGAGTGTATAGGGGGGGCAGAGGGGTGGTGATACAGTTACAAACAGGCTTTTAGCTAGCAATGCTAAACGGCCGTACATTGTACGCCTTTACTAAAAAAAATACAAATCGTACCCGTTAGTCCCCGGAAACTTCCCTTAAATGTTCAAAATTTCACAAGCAGCAGATGCTGGAGTTGGAGTGATTTTAGTTGCTCAATGCACCTCATTAACCAATCAGAGAAGCTGATTTAGGAGCTAGGTTGGAGACACACACAGCACTGCTGATGCTATGATCACTCCACTGAAACTGATTATTAACGCCTAAATGAACTTAAAATGTTGTACCTGCCAGCAAAATATGCTCGCTTTTATTATTCTGGTGCCTGAAGTGTGTAACACATACCTGAATACCAGATTCCAGTGACAGAGCATTGCTAGTATGTAAGGCCTCAGACAGCGAAGTTATATTTGAAGCAGGATCGTAATCTTGATGAACTGATTGCACAGACAATGTTTTGAGGTGGAAATTCTCACTTAAAAATGTATTAAAACTACTTTTAACCAGCTTATCACAGCAATCATAGCAAAATGTGAACAGAAGCATCAGATGCATCTGTTGACACTTTACTGGACGCGCTTCAGGAGCCTCAAAGATGCTCTTGAGGCACGTCTGACTGGTGTACAAGCATCAAAAATGAAGCAGCAGAAGCTTCTTTGCTGCTCAAACCATGGTGTGAACATAGTGTTACATGTTTTTACTGTTTAATTTAACCTATGAAACCTAATATTGTGCCTAAACATTATCTCATATCTTTCTTATGACACTTCCACCTCGAGTCAATCACACATACTTCCTATAATCAGGACAAAAGTTGTGTTGTAACAAAGACAAAAAGCTGCATTCCACCTCAAAATGCAGGAAATAGCGTTTCAGGGTCTAAATTTCTACATCTTCCGTTAACTACACTTCATAAAGCCTAAAGAAGTGATACATCAAGGAATACACCCTATGAAATATTCCTAGCTAAAAGCCTGGTTACAATAATGCTGGTCTAATAAAGGAAATAAGATTATCCCCCAAAGAAAGATCAATGAACTTTAGTAATTTCTCCCTTAGAGAACCACCGAGAGGAGTCTGCCTATGACAACCATCTGACAGGCAAAATCTTAGTGGTTAGTTCCCTCTGTGCTTTGTTTCTTGGATCATTTTTCCATCATCAGCTTCATTCAGTCGACTCTAATCCGACTCTTTCTTTCCTGTCTTTTAGTTCACCTTCTTCAATAACTTTGCAGTGCTCTTCCATATCGCCTTCTTCAAGCAGGACATACCGCTGCTTCGGAAGGTAACAAGAATCTTCAGTCCTGAACCAAATAGAACAAAAGAAAATATTTCCTTTTGGGGAACAAAATATGCATCTACTTTGTGTTAGATTTATTTTTTCAGTTATTTTTATTTAATTAGGAGGGGGTAAAAGCAGTTTTATAACTCAGCAATCAGTATAGTAATTCAGTTTGTCAAAATCTGCAATTTGTTCTTCCATCATTTTCTCATGAACCAAAAAAAAATTTATATATATATATAAAAATGGTCCCGCATCACTTGCACTGCCTATCTGGCTGCTTTTGTTTTAATAGAAAATTAAGTAACCAACTGTTATAAACCAGCAATGTCTTCTGTTCATTTTGTTATTAAAGGTAATAAACATCATTTAAAAATGTATTTCTTTTTAAATATCAAATGAACATTTATTTATCACCACCTAAATTTCTAGAAACCTTTTTTTTTCTTTTTAGCAAGATAATAGATTTTGATTCTGAACAAGGTGACTGGTTTCCAGACATCGGGTCAGATTTTCACTCTCTGTCTTGATGTGTTTTAAAGCGTTTAGCGTCTTTGCTGATCATCACTCAGCTGGTGAACCAGGTGACAGAGGTGGTGGTACCTTTCCTGGTGGACCGGTTCATCAGCGCCCCCCACAGAACACAGAGTGAAGATGATCCAGAAGAGGACAAGTTCCGGAACCAAGGCACTCTGCCTCCTTTCCCGGTGAGCTTTGGAGCGAGTCTTAACAATATATTCCCTAGAGAGTTTAGAATAATCTAAGCCTATAAATCTGTTTCTTTTTTTTGTTCTAAAAAAAGGGGCTATTTGCAGAATACATCGAGCTGCTGGTGCAGTTTGGATATTTGAGCCTTTTCTCTTGCGTGTTCCCTCTGACTGCGGTTCTGCTGCTCCTCAACAACCTAACTGAAATCAGATCGGATGCTTATAAGATTTGCAAACTCTTCCGCAAACCCTTTTCCCCTCCTGTGGCCAACATGGGCGTGTGGCAGGTCAGCAGCAGCAAAAACACAACACTAAACTAAGATTGTGTCGTACTCTCCTTACATCAGTGTCTGCTATTTTTTATTTATTTTTAGGTTGCCTTCGAAGTGTTGAGTTTTGTATCAGTTGTGTCCAACTGCTGGTTGCTGCTGCTGTCGCCCCGCCTGCAGGACTTGGGTCAGCAGGCCGGGATGAGCGGCAGCAGCCTACTGATGGCGGCTGTTATGGTGGAGGTAAGAATGCAGATGGAATCCCAAATAATCTCTTCTTGGAGCTCATTCACTTTAATTTAATCTGTGTGTGTGTTTTTACAGCATGTGCTGATATTAGTAAAGGTGATAATGGCCGCCCTGATACCAGACGAGCCTGACTGGATCCGGAAAAAGAGGGAGCATATCGAGTACACATCCATGCAAGCCCTAAGGCAACAGGTTAACCAAGTTTAACCGACCTTCTTACATATTTGCCTTTATTCCTCATCTCCTCTTTCTCATTGGTTTTTCTTATGTTTCCCAGAAGCTGAATGTTCAAGAGTCCTAACGTTGTTTCAAGATGCTGAAATACAGCTCCATACCTCTGGAGGTAAAACCCAAGAGAAGAGAGCTGTCCCAGTACCGCGTCTCTGCTCCACCTGACTTTTGCTGCCTTTATTCACTCACACAGTGCTTCTACAACCAAAACACTTTGCTTTTTATGCATACGGCAAGTGCAATTCAAACAGCAGCTTAAAGTGTTTTTTTTAAGAATGCAGCGGATGGATTGCTGTGATAGAGACTCAATAGTAAAGCTGCAGACTGTACTGATAAATATTTTTAAAAGGGTCAGTATTTGATGTTATGTATTTACGGTGCCAAAAACAGGCAGAATACTTGTCTCATTGCTGCCACCTGGTGATAAAACACTGTTAGTGTTCAAGATTGAGAGGAAGAAGAAGACAGTATCATTAACAGTAGTTTTAAGCTTGTTGGCTTACTTTGGTAGCAATATCATCTTTATCCAAATATGTATTTTATTTAAGGCTGAAAAAATCAGATTAATCTTGATTAAGAGAATATTGAAATAATCGTCAAGTAATTTAGTAATCAATTAATTGTTAACTGAAGTATAGAGACTGTAAAACATGTCTTTAGCTGACAGAGCAGTAATTATGCCAAGATTTTACACAAATTATCATTTTGCATTTAGATGAAATAAAAAACAATTTTGTCTAATATGCTCTTTCTAGAATTCCTCAAGTGGAAAAATTTGAGTTTCACCTGGTTTAATATAGTAAAAAAATCTTCTTTAAGAAACCTTTGGCTATATGATTATTAAACAATTAATCAATAAAGTAATCAACAGATGAAACGATTTGCAAAATAATCATTAGTTGTTGCCCTAATTTTATTAAATAATGATTAAAATTAGATTCTTTACATTTTCCTTAAAAACAATGCCAGTTATAAACACCTATTTTTCTCTTGTAGTCTGATAAAACCTGATTCAATTTCATCAAAAGCTGAAATCAACCTCTTAACAGGTCTTATTATAAATCATTTGGTATTTTCTGCACTAATATCCAAGTGACCCACCTCTATAATGCACAAACAGCTTCTGACACACATCAGTCCGTTCAACTTAGTTTAAAAAAAATCAGCTGTAGGTTATTGGGTTCATTTTATTCAAATTTTTATCCAGCAGCAAGAGGAGATGTATGATAATGGTACCAAGCTCAACGTTCTCTAAAGGGATATTGTGTAAAATTACTGCGATCTAGCGTTAAAATGGGTGTATTTCACTCAAAAGACCAACACGTCGCTGCCTTCTACACATATTGCATCAGCGGTAGCCGGCATGTGTCAAAAAGCCTCGACAATGAGATGTTAGCAGGTTCTCTTTACATACTTAATGGAGTTTATTCTCAGATGAAAAGGGTTGTAATTTCTTAAACGTTACAAACTGTAATGCATTACGAAATCGAAATCTACTAAACCCACGTAAGCCTAAAATTCTGTAACAAGATGATGGGTAAATGTTTGCAGGACTACTACTGTTATGGTTTCTATGGTAACAAGGAACCATGGTCTAAAGAAACCGAATGGGAAAGCTTTAGCTTTATGCTAATTTTGGCAATACAGTTCATACGTCAAGGAGAGACATGGTAACTTAAGCATTCCTTTTAAAATCATCTTTAGCTCCTTCCACCTGGAGAAGGCTTGTCTGATATTTAGCTTCCTTTTTGGGCATCTCTGGTTTAGTTATATTCTAAGTTTACTTTTTCTCTTCCTTGGGGACGGTGAAACCATTTCTTGAGGTGCTGCTGCATATTCATGGCACATACACTGTGGTGCGGTAGTGCAGACTTTCAGCTGTTGGGTTAATTTCTCCAAATGATCCTCATCGTCGCCTCTCAATCACCCTGAACTGCCAGGAAGTGAAACAAGCTTTTACTCTATGCATTAGTACTATTCTATCCTTTGCCAGCATATGTACTTTCAAGATGGCAGAATGTCATGGCGCATTACAAACGGGTGACTGGCGATATGTATAAAGTAATATGAAATTCTTGACTTATCAATTAATTAGTGGAGGTAATAATACATCAATAGTAACACATATGTAGGTGTTGATTTCATGCACTAAAAAAGAGAAACTGTTACACAATGTCCCTTGAAACTGGATGTCCGAGCTCACTGGATGTAAATTAATGTTACATTTCCTAAATAAACTGCTACTTGTAAATGGTTTCCCACAAATAAAAGACATTAAAAAACAGCAAATAAGTCAGTGAGCCGAAGTTGATTTAAAATCATTAACTGAATGCAAACCCTTTGTAATATTCTATATTACAGTTATCTACCACAGTATAATTAGGAGTGTTTTATATTCCAAAGGGGAACACAAACGTTTTAAAAATTATTGACTTTAAATGTACCAGGCAGTAACAGAGGATACTTGAACTCCTAAGAAAACCAAAACAGAGTGATCTACTTTCAAGAATGATACTGATGAGCTTCCATTTACTTTTATAGAAACAAAAAAAACTATATATTTAAGATCAGGGTTTTAGTCCGACCACATCTAGCATTTTGAGATGGTAAACCTTGGGATTCCGTACATCAGAGCTGAGGATTTGTGGAACTTTTATCATTTTTGTGGAAAAAAATAGATTATTTTGATTCTCCCTGGGACCTTGATGACGGAAAAACTACGCTTATGAAATTTAACCAGATATAAGTTCTGCTTCAGAAATTTGGAGAATTATAAAACACATATCAAAATTTATTTATAATAGACTGGTAGGCTGTTTAAAACACAAACCCGTAGTTTAAAAAAAATATATATATATCTTGAATAATTCTGTCTAAGTAGGATCAGTTTGCAATTTTCACTTCATCAAGGTCCTAATAAACAAGTCTTCACAAACTGTGAACTATCTGGTTAAAATGATCTATTTTTTCATCCATGTGTGGAGCAAGTGTTTTCTTTTAAAGTGTCCAACATAAGTTATTGGATTTTGGAAAGGGAACGATTTTACATTAATGATACTGTCTTCTCCTAACTAGAACTTATGAAACTATCTTTAAAATGTGTATCAATGTTCAATAAGAGTTAAAAGCCTTAGGAAGAGACCAAAGAAGTGTACATTATTTTTAATTACATTTTATTTACAATTAACTGTAATTAATTACTCGTACAATTGTACAGCTTTACGTGGCACCAACTACAACATCCATATGTTTTATCACAACTGTTTAATGATAGTTTGTTTTATATGTTATATTTAAGGTGCGATTTGTAAACCTGTTGTGGTAGTCTATATTTTTTTTCTGTTTGTCAGCTTTTGAATTTTGTTGTATTTAAGCGTTGTTAGTCTCTTCAGCCACCAGGTGTCGCCAAACACTGACTTTTATGCTGACATAGTTCTTAACATGCAGTCCTGGTGGCTACAGGAGTTTTTCTGCAAAAATGCAGGATGGTGATACTTCTTCAATGAATAGCCACTGCTGGTGTGTCTGTGTGTTGGAGGGGGGGTTATGAGGTGTGAATGAAAACAGTCTGAGCCAGTGACTGCAAGGTCAGGGCACAAACTTCGGCAATGTTTGATGCTTGTGTGGAAATAAACCCTCTTAAAAACATATCTTTTTTTTTGAAGTTTTGTGTTTATAAAGACTTGATGTTACTCTGTGGGGATCAAAGATTCTTTGAAAAATAGAAAATCAAATCCTTTTTAAAACTGCAATTTTTTTCCTCGGCTCATTTCAATAAACACACTTCGTAGCTAGATGTTCTTGGAATCTTTAAATAGTTCTCAGATGTTTTTGAAGAGGTTTGAAAGTTTTCTTTTTGACTCTGTCAGTTGCTTTTGTACTCCTCTACCATGAAAACTATCATAGTTGTTAGTCAGGGTCATTAAAAGTAAGACTTATCGTCCAAACCCTCAGAGAAAAGGTAAGTAACTCAGAATGAAAGTGTCATACAGTTAATCATGTGTAAATACACATAACCTTTCTTCTTTCTAGGACATTGAAAAGGACCATAATTTCCAATGTTAATTAAAATGACAAAATAATTTCTATTAGATTGATGCCAAATAAATTGTATAACTGGAGCTAAAGATTCAAGATCAAGCCTCTCCCGTTAGTTTGCTGGAATATTTACCCATTTCTCCCGACTGAACTACTGGTCTGGTTTGTAGGTGTTGCTTGCAAACACTTTTTCAACTCTCCCACCATCTTCCAATTGGATAAAGATCAGGCTTTGTGATTCCAACACCAAATCAACATTTAGATTTGACCGATGAATAACTTAACAAGAATATTTACCAGTACTACGTTTCAACAGAAGCGCGTTAGAAATAAAACTGTGCATCCATGAAGCAGCTTTAGTTCCTTTTAATAAATAAATAAAGAAAAAATAGGTTCACAATCCAGGTTAAAATGCAGGTCAGCAGACATTAGAGAGAGACAGAACACAGGAACAAATAACTTTATCCCTCGTTTGCATGGGTTTTAAGCTGATGGGATATGAGTCATAATAGGATTTTCACGTGACGAGCGCTCCTCTTTTTTTAGGCCAGGAGCAAACAATCACATGTCAGTGGCGGTCACTGGATGTTGTTCACTGAGCTGATTCCAGGTGTCTTTATTACAAATATAGCACAAACGGGGCAGTTATACGGTAAAATAACAACACAAAGGGACTCTTCAGCTACTGAGTAAAAAGTCATTGTGTGATGGCCTGAATCTACACGAGTCCCGAGCTATTGCTTGCAGAAAGCTACCAGCTACAGTGTTCGTATTGTGTTCAATGCATCATTCAATGGGTTATTATTAACAGTTCAACAGGAACAATGGCTGCTCTGTCAGACCCAAGACACCTGGAGGTATATTCTGATATATATCTGCAGCAACATGCAAAGTCACACATTTGTTCAGATAATCAATATCTTTGTCAGATAATAAGATCATATCCTTAAAGAAAAAAAATATGAACATTTTTTGAAACAAAAACAGCAGACCTGCATGTTAATGATCCCATAAACACTTTTAAACAGATCAAGCTATCTAGATGATAAAACTGGACATAAAGCAGAAGATCATACATTCCCTCCAGACTCAGGCGTGTATTATACAGTGTTATATCATACATATATTAACAGCTTTTAAACATACCAGCTTATGTTAAGAGCTTTGAAACCAGTGTGACAAAAATGTGAGGAAAGGTGACAGTGGGACAGGTTGGAGTGTCGACACTTCAGTCTGGGATCAAGTCATACCGAACCTCCAAATTATTCCCCATTTATTCTTTGCAATCCTGATATTTAACCATTTCTTACATGCATTTGGGTGTAAAATAACTGTCTTCTATACAGGTCTAAGCATATCAAAGAAAAAAGTCTACACTGGAGTTTAAAGTAAAAGGTTTTATCCAAACTGATAGAAGGGAAAAAAAACACCAAAGAATTGCCAGGAGGGGCTCTGCAGTGCAGGCAGAAAGTTTATGGATTAACAGTCATTTACTTATAATAGGCTCATATTTAATAAATGAGAATATCTCCTCTGATGAGGCTTTTCTGTCAGATTTAAACTGCATTTCAAAAAAACACTTTAAAAGCAAGTATGAAACCCACTTTTTATTTAGCCAACATTTCCGTATTAAAACGTTTTTTTTATTGTTTCCTCCATGCCACTACAAAGTCCTTTTTTCCATGCTTGGCACATTAAATTGTCTTTCTACTGAAATGAGCTATATAAATAAACTTGCTGTGGTCTAATTGAATATTCTAACCTAAAGTCATTTAGAGATTTCAGCTAATCGCTTTCTATAACAAAGCAACAGACCAGTGGAATCCATTTGTTGTTGAGTTGGGAATAATGAATCATATATTGTTTTCCCCGTAGCTTGATAGTCCACTCATCTGGGGTCTTTGTTTGCTAAAAACCCACACATATATTATTTGTTGTGACGTATTGTTATAGACGCACTAATATTCTTCAGAGGGAAAGTTGCAGCTGTTCAGAAACATCAGCATCAGCTGGACCAAATCTAAACAAGCAAAATCTTTGGTAATTTGCTACTCTCTTAACATCAAATCAAAGCAGACAGGTTTCTGCAAAGACGCCGGAGAACGCCTATCATCTGCAAAGGGTTATAAGGCCATTTATAAACAAATAAAAGCCAGTCATTCTCCAGGAACGACGATTATTCACAAGTGCAAAACAGCCAAGACAGCTGCCAGTCTTCCAAACAAATTCCTGTCAGTCTTAGGCCTCGAAACGCTTCGATTACTCATAAATAAAACAGATTATGAGAGGATGGACGAAAAAAAAAAAAAAAACACTGAAAACTTTATGCTAAGTTAGGAAACGCTGAAGAAGAGAGATTCTTCTTTAAAACTAAAATCCCAGCATGACTTTAGTTAGCAATGCTGCATCTAAATAGATGATGTAGGACCAAAATAAATATGGTATTACAACACACAGAACGGTACAACAAACCTGGAACAACATTGGTAGAAAGATTAGGCCATAATTCTATAGCAGTTATGGAGGAAAAGTTGTAGGTCCCATAATAATGCACCTAAATATAGATTATGGGTACAAAGAATTGCTCATAAGAAAATAAAAAAAAACTACTTTCAGGTAATTAAAGCAGGTCTAACACAATACCTTGAGGAGAAATTTACAAAATAATCCCAGCTAGTTTAGCTTTTGTCATGAATCCTGACTAATTTGGATTTTACCAGGAAATAAATGTTGCAACCTGTTCATTAACATCCCAAAATAGTTTGCTTCTCTCAATGGATCTATAAAAAAATAAAGATGAGTGAAGCTAACTATTAGATCATTGTGTGGATGTCCTTTCTATGTTATTAAAAAAGAAGAAATGAAGGAACTTGATTATTAATTTCTTGATTTAAAAACAGACAGACAGAAGAATTTACACCCAAATAAAGAAAGAAAAGGCATTTTTGAAAATTTTCCTGTAGTGCAATAAAAGTGAATTCTGTTGTTCTCCTTTTCCAATGGTGGATAGACTAATAAACCTTAAAAATGGCTGACGGGACTGATGATGATTTCTCGCTGATTGAACGGAATGCAGCACAGAGGACCTGCCCTGGACTGACGGTCATGTGGATGAAACAGTCGCTGTTAATCCATTTAATCTTCATAGGCACCTTCAAACAAAAGATCTCTAGCTTATACAGTGAATTAAATCTTTCCCCTCATCTTCCTCCTAACGACTCCATGACCAACGAGGTTGGAGTTTTGTCTCAAAGCTACAAATGAAAAGCAGAATTTTCTTTTTTTATTCTGCGCTCCCTCCTGTACACAGCAGCAAATGGAAATAAATTCCTTGGTTCATGTCACCTTTGACTGTCACTAAAACAACGTCTATTAAATGAGCACACTGTTAGAAGTGGGGGTATGTGAAGCTGCGTGTTTGTGTGCTGAGGGCGGTTTAGCTCGTCGTCTCTGCAGAGAGTTCAGCAGGCGCCACTTCACAAGGTCTATGTTCAGGCTTCCACCACCTGCTGCCTGCTAAGCAGCCTGTGCGTCCAGAGAGAAGGCGGCCCTGAAGCCGATGTTCGCTACAGCACGTGGCAGCAGTTGTACTGAGCCAGCGGCAGGATCTTGGGCTTGTTTTGTGTGGGTATGTTGAAGGCCAGAGCTTTCTCACACAAAGGGAAGTGGAAGAGTCTGTCTCGGAGCTTGATGCTGTGCCGCTTCCCCTGCTCCGCCCTCGGTAGCGACTCGCCCCTGGTTCCTGGAGGATTTTGGGGTTGAGGCTTTTCTGCCGTCCCGCTCTTTTCATTTGCTTCCTCCTCCCGTTCCGTTTTCTCCCTCAGGCTGGCGGAGGATGCAGAGATGCAGGACTGACAGGAGTCTGGTGTTAAGAGCAGAGGAGGTGGTTTGCCAGTGTTGTTGTTGGGCTCCATCTCTTCATCCTCTCCCTCTTTTCTGTTAGAGATGTTCAGCTGACAACAAGACACCCTTAAAGCCGGAGAGGATGGAGTGACTTCAGATGTCTGGCTGAGCGTCTCATCCCGATGACTGACAGGCTGATCTGATATCACACAACCGCTGTCTTCGTTTTCTCTTTCCATCTCCACTGACTTTTCCTCCTCTGTTTTTCCAAACTCTTCCAGGTTTTCCATGCACTCCGACATCTCCTCAACTTCCTCCTCTATTTCTCTCAATGTACTGTGTTCTTCTTCTTCCCCCTCCTCCTGCTCCTCCTCCTCGTCCTCCTCACAGATCTGCTGCAGCGCAGGGACGTTCTTGCCCGCAGGAGGCTCTTCAGCAGGAGCAGGCCGGAGGCTGAAGCAGAGGCTGGGCTGCCACGTCCCAGGAAATGTCTGCTGAGCCGAAGACCTCATAGCCAGCAGATCCCCGGACTCTGGGGCACACAGTGAGGGAGACGTAGCAGAGAGGGCCCCTGTGACCCAGTGGGGTGGCGCCTCAGGGCTGAGGAGGGCGTCATCCAGGCCCTGCAGCCACTGGTGAGCCTCGATCTCATCGAGACACGCACGGCAACACGGATCCTTCTGCAGCATCCTGGAGATCAAACTGACAAGGAAAAAAAAAGTGATTCTTATAAAGCTGCAATTTAAATAAAAGCCAGAAACATTATATAAACAACCTTATTCACATTTAAACATCTAAAACGGATACAATTGAATTAACCACAACCCATCTTGTCCATGTTATATTCATATATTCTTTAGGTGTGTTGGTTTTCCTTTTCTTTTATCACTTTCCTGTGATTTCACCATTTTTTTCAATTGGTTAATACAATTCAGGACTTAAACTGGTTTAGACCTATGCACTCGCCACTCGTGTGTCACAGAGTGTATTTCTTCCCATCTTCCTATTCACACATCATGTGAATCAAGGTCACATAATAAATCTGGTGTCAGGTGTTTAAGGGCATGTTTTGCAAATGACCTGTTTCTAGGGGGAATGTATCCCTGCATGGGTTCAACCTCAAATTGTTAAATATAAATCACAAAAAGTGTTTAAGGAGATTATTCAAAAGACTAAGGTTTAAAAAGCTATCATGGCACCCATAAAGCAAAGTTTGATGTTTGCAGAAATCAATTAAGGCTTTACTTCCTTACGTATATGACAATGTATCATTCTTTGGGTTTCGTCCTTAAAAAACTGATGATTGAAAATCAAGTTGAAAATTAAACCATAAAACTGGGCGCAGGATCATTAAAAAGCTAAATGATAGTAATTTAGAGTAGATTTTAGATTAAAGTAGAATTATCTTAAAAGAGTGAATTTGTTTCTGAAGGAATAATCAATTTATTTTAAACACAATCATCAAGAAATATATGAAGACATCTGCAAGTGAAGTCATCTTTGTCAAAATGCTCCATGGCTAAACCTTTAGAGTAGCATTTAAGTTCAGGATTTTGAATGAACAATCTATAGAAATTGTATCAGTTTGGTGCTAAAGCACAAAAAGCAGAAATAGGAAATGCCAACAGCAGTAAACAAATAGAGGATCTGGAGTTCAAACTATAATGCTGACACAGCTTTTGTTTTTTTAACTAGTGTTTAATTCTTTGTTTCGTCAACACAGGGGGAACAAAAATGTGCAGCGTTGTTGTGACTTTTGGATTCAGTGTTTTCCGTTTGTTTACCCTGCTGCTCTGGGAGCCAAAAAGAACAGTGTGTGTTTTGGTTTGAGGTGTGAAGGATCGAGGTTGAGTGTGAGGAGAGGCTTGAATGCTTGAGTTGTATTTTGTTCCAGCAGCTATTGTATGATTTTGACAATAATAAATAGTGGTTCAATGTTCACAGCTTTTAACTGTGGAACATTAGTGTTTATTTTAGCCCAACCTGTATTTACAGGAGCTGGAGAATAAAACATTAAATGTACGTGTTTGTAAAAAAAACTCTCTTAAACCAAGAGAAAAATGTAGCCCCTTCTCAAAATGATTTCCAACCTTGGTAAAGATTGATAAAAAAAAGTCCTAAAAGTTTGGATTTTAATCTCCCACTAAACCAAAAATATATATATATATATGATTTTAGAGCATTAATTCATTGGTGGACATCTTTATTTTTTACTTTGGGAAATTGATCATAATGACTAAATCATCTTCCTTCATATATATTAGTTAGTGTTGCACCTAGGGCTGAACGATTTTAAGAAAAAATTTAAATTGCGATTTTTCTGGCAGAGATTGCGGTTTTCGATTTCAACCACGATTTATTTTTTTAATCAAATTTCAGTACAAATTAATATATATTTAATAATTATATAACCAATGAATTCAATTAAGATAATGCAAGAATGAAAACTGGTGGCAACATATTTCAAATGCAAGACTGTTTATTCAAGCACCTAAGAAACAAATTATATTATCCAAAAAAGTCAAATAAAATGAGAACCCTCCTTTGTAAACTTTTGCTTCTTTTACATTCTTTTACATTCATTAACAAAAAATATCAAGCATCAATGGCTCATCAGCATCAAAATAATTGCACTTTTGTAAAATAACGTAGGCTACATAAAAATTACAAAGGGACGGGAGCCCTCTTTCTTAAGTAAACTTTTGCTTCTTTTACATTTTTTATTAAAAAAAAACATTAATGGCTCAGCAGCATCAAAACAATTGCACTTTTGTAAAATAACATAAGCTACATAAAAAATATAACATATAACAACAAAGTTGAGCAAAAATGAAGTCTTACCTTAAAAGAAGTGCAAAATGGCTCAAAGGAGCTAGCTTATGAACATAAGCAACAACAGAGCAGTTACAGAAATACAACCCCTGTACTTAGAAACCTGTGCTTCTTCAAATAAAGTGGCAAGAGGAATTGAAACATAAAAGGTAGTAAAAAATGACAACAGTACAATAATAGTATTAAAGTTTAAATTATCCTATATTTTCCTCACAACAAATGATGCCAGAATGGTTAAATTATTTTACATAGTCAGTAAACAAAAGATAAGTAAAAAAGATGAACAAAGTTATGTCAGGGTAAGTGCAAGTAAGGGATTTCAGGATAAGATGAAAAAACAATCTTCCCCTTCATCGCTACATCTCTTTAGAGATTTTTGGCCAGGAAAACCAACATGTCAACCCTTGCTGGCTTCAGACTTGCACGCTGACATGTGACAATATTACCACTGGCACTGAACAGTCTCTCTGATGGTGCACTCGTTGCTGGTATGCAAAGGTACTTACGAGCCAACCTGCTAAGCCAGGGGAAGTTGACATTGTGCACTCTCCACCAGGCCAGTGGATCTTGCTCTCCATCAATGCTAGGAGTTATGAGGTAGTTGTCCAGTTCTGCTTTAATTGTATCCTCCAACTGCATAGTAGAGGAAGCAGGGACCGCCTTGAAAAAGCTGCCCAGTGACCGCTTTCGCTTTGTAGAGGTGGATGGTGGTTCTTCTTCTGTACTGAGTGGCATGGGATGGGTTTTGACACAAGCCCTCTGCTCCTGCAACACACAGTAGAGGCATAATGTTTTGCAATTAGTTGTGATTACTGACATTGATGTTGAAATGTTGCCTTGGTCTTACAGTATAATTCAAAAACATATATAGAAAAAAACACAGCTTTTTGTTTTATTTTGAAAGAGTGAAGAAAAAGGACAGCTTACCTTTAGTGCCAACTGCTCCATTTCCATCTTCACTCTGTCTTTCATGAATTGGACATTCTCCTCACTAATGTAGTTGGTCTTAAATCTTGGGTCGAGGAAAGATGCGATGTCCAGGAGTTCCTGGGTCGCTGGGTCACTGTATTTCTCTTCAATGTAGTGGAGAGCTTTTGACTTTATCTCCTTTGTGAGATCTGTGTCTTGGTCAGTTACAGCAAGTGTTGCTGTTCTCAGCAGGTGGAGCACTGGCTTTAGGTAGGATACGCTCACATAGTCCTCAAATGAGAGGGCGTCTGTGAACTCCTGAAGAGGACCGAGAGCATTGTTTACAGATTCAAGCACATCAGTGTCTTGCCAAGTCGGGACCAGGTGCCGCGTCTTCCTGTCTTCAGACAGAACTTGACACAGTGCCTTGCTCTGTCCCAACACCCTCTCAATCATTTTCTGCCGGGAGCCCCATCGTGTCGGACATTCGGTGACCATTGACTGCTGAGGAAGATTCAGGTCTTCCTGTGCCTGTTTTAGCGTCGCCTTTTTCTTCCAGCTGTGGCTGAAGACTGCTACCAGCTGCTTGCACAGTCCTGTGGCCCGTTTGATGCGTTGGTCATCTTTGACTGCATTTTCTGGGAAAAACATTACATACAGTCAGATAAGCCTACTTCATAACTGTTTTTAACAGCAGACATCAGGTGGTGCTATCACATTAAGTAATTCGCCATACATTAATTTGTAACTGGTGATTAATTTGCAGCAATATGTTTATTCGACAATCCACTAAAACACAACAAACCTTTCAATCTGTAATAAAGTGGCATCAGCCATCCTCATATCTGCTACAAAATACCATTGGCGTCATTTGCTTTTTTTAAATTTATTTATTTATTAATTTTTTGTTTACTAAAGTGTGTCAAAAATAAGCTTAGGGCAGGGGTCTTCAACATTTTCCTGGCCAAGGACCCCCAAACTGATGGCGAGATGGAGCAGGGACCCCCTAATTATATATATTGTATGAAATTGTGTTATATAAAACTGCTCCTATAGTCACTCTATTACAGATGGAGTGATTTAACAAAATAATTACTCCCTGGGATTATTAAAGTATTTCTGATTCTGATTCCTGCTTGATGGGACAGGTGCTGTGAATGAAATGGTGTCTTGAAAGAGCTGTGTCACTGAATGTGAGCATTGATGACTGAAAGACATCTTCTGCCTCCATTTATCTGTGTTAATTCATGTTAATGTGTATTTAAAGACATCTCAATTAATGAAAAAAGTTGCAGGGGGGAATATATAAAAAAGTCTAATCAACCAAAACTTTCGCGACCCCCATGCAGTACCTCCGTAGACCCCCTAGGGGTCGCGCACAACCCTGTTGAAGACCTCCTGCTTAGGGGAAACGGCATTTGTATCTCTCTGTTCCTTGGCATTCCGTAGCTAAACAGAAGCAAGCAGTAGCTTATTGGGAGGTTTCAAAGTTTACTCATGAAAGTGTTCATTTTTATAGGTAGGAGAAACGGTAGCATTGCGCTAACAGTTGGTCAGCTAACAAAAGCGTGAAAACAAACATAGGGTCGCTTTGTCCCCCTCCCCCGCCCTAACTGTGTTTGAGAGACTATGATACCACTAATTCTTACACAGTAAATTTGGACACACACATACACTTACCAATTGCAAGATGCAGCCGGTGCCCGAAGCACTGCAGTCTGGTCCACTGATTGAGCTCCATCGCTTTGACCATGTTCGTGGCGTTGTCTGTTGTGATGCAGGTCTGGGCCTCTTCTTTTAGGTCCCAGTTTGCCAAGCACTCTTTAAGCCCAATTGCAATGTTCTCCCCCGTATCGTCAGTGGGGAAGTATGCTGTCTGCAGGCAGCGGCTTTTCAACTCAAAGTTTGCATTCACGAAATGCACCGTCAAACTCATGTATGGCTCGGTCGTTCTACTTGACCACAGATCCGTAGTTGACGCGTAAAACTCTGTGTTTTCCAGCTCATTTACAACTTTGGCCTTGCATTCTCCGTACAGCTGTGGGATGGCGACTCGGTTAAAGTAGGTGCGGGAGGGTAGAACATACCTCTTGTCCATTGTGCGTAGCAAACTTTTAAATGCGTCTTTGGTTACTGTGTTTACAGACACCATATCCTTCGATATGTAATTCGTTACAGCAGTGGTAATCTCCTTGTGTCTTCGGCTAGTTCTTTCATAAGGCATCAAACTGGCAAAGGATGAAGTTATGGTTGGCTGTTTTGCTGAAGTATCACTGCTACTTGATATTTCAAGGCTCTTTTTCGCCATACAATCCTCATACAAGTTAAGGTGGTGGACTCTCAAGTGACGATGTAAATTGGTGGTATTGCCAGCCGATGTAGCCAGTTTCCCACGACATGTTTGGCAAATCACCTGTTTCTGGTGCTCATCAGTGGCCTCAAATCCTAAATACTGCCAAATGACCGACGTGCTGTTTTTCTTTGGTATTAATTTTGTCGGCTCCACGTCTGCTCCCGCTTCAGCCATCTTGAAATTGAATCTCGAGCTTACGAGCTACACTGAAAACGTCATCTGGTCACGCGCAGCCTTTCAGCTTTCTGATTGGTTCTGGCCGACACAGAGCCTTTTCTGATTGGTAATAGCCGACACAGAGCCTTTCTACATGAGCATGCATTGGAATTATTGACAAAATTATTAGGCCTGGGCTAATATGCACCAAGAAAAACCGCAGCTTTGACAATCCCAAAATCGCGTTGCTTGAGATCGCGGTTTTCGGTCGAAAACGATAGATCGTTCAGCCCTAGTTGCACCGATGCAATTGTTTGGCCCTGATTCTGATACCTGGCAGCGTAGTATTGGCCGATACCAATACCATCTGTTTGCATTTGATGTGTGTGTATATATATGAAGAACTGCACACTACTTGGGTGTAAAATAATTGCCATCATTTCAAGCTGCTGCCTACCTTTGTGAAGCAGGAAAAAGACTAATGCAAACTGAATCCAGTAGAACTTTTTATTGCCTACCTGGAGTGGGTGACAATAGTTGAATAAACTTTTGGCTCTCAAAATAGTATCAGTGCCCTATTTGTTGGTACTCGCCGATACCAATACCACTATTTTAGAGCAGTATCAGGGCCCCGTCTGATACTGGTATCGGTGCAACACTAATATTAATGTTCTGAACTTCCATATCAATGTGTTTATTGCACCATGTTTTTATCTCCCACACTGTTTACTGATGCCTTTATGGAATGAAAATGTTAATTTACTGTCTGGAAAGCTGTACTAAATGAAATTTTGTTTTGTATACACCGAGTGCATACAAAATGATAATAAAAGTTTTCTAAGTGTAAGTCATCTTTACCACTCTTCCAAATGGGTAAGAACAATGACACAAAACATTTCATGTTATATAAAAGTGTGATGATCCATGGAGGTCAGGATAATCTTTAGCTATTGGCTGATTTGAATTATCCAAAGATACAGGATGACATTTAGAGAAGAAACTTAATAAAAAAATCATTGGGCACCAAGCTGCACTAAGCTGCAAATATTGTCAAACTAGGGAAAGACTTTCTTCTCCTGATCTTCTAAATGTAAACCAGCAGAGTTTGACAACAAAACACAAGACGGATTTGGTTGGAACTTGGTGCCCAACATTTTAGGAGTCAGTTAATGAAATTAATTCAGTACCTGATACCTGGTACCTTTTTTTACCTGGTAAAAAAAAGGTTAGTTTGTGGAAAAGCATGGTGGTGCATCTATGGTGCTGTGGGCCTTTTCATGTCACTTTCCAAAGGCATCATGTACTTATAAGGACATTTTGAATAGAAAAAAAATCAGGCTGCCACTGCTAGTAAAATTAAAATAGGTCATCTGATTTATGCCTTAAAGGTTGGATTTTTGTCAACCTTTAAATGTGTAATCCTGCTGCTGCAAGTAAATGTTAATTTATTCTAATTCTTTTAACATATCTTAACAATCATTTCTAAAATAACATATATATGTATATGGTTCTCCTGAAGCTCTGGACAGTACTCACTCTCTGCAGTCCTCTGAAACGTGTTCAGGGACAGTGTAGCGGCAGTCCAGGATCATGACCAGAGTCTCGCTGTCATTGGTTTCCTGGAAGGGAGGGACTCCACAGACCAGCATGTACAGGATCACCCCAAGAGACCAGATATCTGGAAAACACACCAAATAACAGTAATGTTAGATTTAATGAGCGACATTTCAAACTCCCAGGGAAGAAAGTAAAACATCTTCCTTTATCCCACAAATAAGATGAACAATAACCCTTAACAAATCAATGGATAAAGAATGCAATAACTACACAAATTACATTACATAATATAATCTATATGATGAAGATTTTAATCAAAAGGTCAATCTGCCTCAATTATATTCTTTAAATGTTGCTGCTGAAAAAAAAAAAAACTGTATGAAGATTTTGTGAATAACTCTTCCTTTTTGTCAGTGTCAGCTCTTCTTGCACCACATTTAAATGTCATATTTAGGTAAAAAAAATTATTAAAGAGTCCTTTCAGTATATATATATCCATTCACAGCAAACAGTTAAATTCAGATGCAATCAGTTACCCATGCAGAGCACTGATGGGTTTCTTAATGACTTAACTTGCAATACGCAAAGAAAAGATTATAAATGTCCCAAAGGATGTGAAGTCAGCAGACCTGGAGGAGGCCTTAGACCCTTAGACACAGATTTTGGGGGAGAAATCATATATATTTTTAAATTAACGGTTGACAAACCAGCACCATGCAACTTATTAACACCTGATTAAACACGGGCTGGATTAACTCTATCAAGGCAGAGCAACAATTAAAACGGAACAATTTTTCCATCAAGCATCTATTGTTCAGAAATGAGAAGATTTTCTTTAGCTGTATGGAGAATAAAATGACACCTTGTCTGTTACTCTTTACTGCAGAGCGGCTTTCTGAAACACAGGGTCTTACATACACTTTTCAATTGCTCAGAAAACAGAGACAGGTTTTTCTGGCGGAAATATTTCTGACTGAAAATAACACTGAAACGCTTCATTTAGAAACTAAAGCTGCAACATTTACTGTATCTTTTAGTAAAGCAACGCAGACTCTTGGCTTAATTTGGCGAGCCATGAGCATCATGTTTAAAAAGAGTATGCAAACCTGCTACCTCAGCAGACAGCCTGACTAACAACCCAACCAGTATCTGCTTAGTGACTAAATAAAGAGCAGAATATCAGTAATGGCTTCACTCTAGCATTTAACATCATCAATAACATTAATACCAATACCAATCAAAATATTCTATATTACTTTTATGAATAATGTTTGTATGTAAATTATCAAGATAATGGTTTATATTTTTCTGTTAAACTTGAATCTTTTTTAATTCAAACATTTTAATTCAAAGTTATGGTTCTACACTCACCGGCCACTTTATTAGGTACACCTGTCCAACTGCTCGTTAACACTTAATTTCTAAGCAGCCAATCACATGGCGGCAACTCAGTGCATTTAGGCATGTAGACATGGTCAAGACAATCTCCTGCAGTTCAAACCGAGCATCAGTATGGGGAAGAAATGGTGATTTGAGTGACTTTGAACGTGGCATGATTGTTGGTGCCAGAAGGGCTGGTCTGAGTATTTCAGAAACTGCTGATCTACTGGGATTTTCACACACAGCCATCTCTAGGGTTTACAGAGAATGGTATGAAAAAGAAAAAACATCCAGTGAGCGGCAGTTCTGTGGGCGGAAATGCCTTGTTGATGCCAGAGGTCAGAGGAGAATGGCCAGACTGGTTCGAGCTGATAGAAGGGCAACAGTGACTCAAATAACCACCCGTTACAACCAAGGTGGGCAGAAGAGCATCTCTGAACGCACAGTACGCCAAACTTTGAGGCAGATGGGCTACAGCAGCAGAAAACCACACCGGGTGCCACTCCTTTCAGGTAAGAACAGGAAACTGAGGCTACAATTTGCACAAGCTCATCGATATTGGACAATAGGAGATTGGAAAAACGTTGCCTGGTCTGATGAGTCTCGATTTCTGCTGCGACATTCGGATGGTAGGGTCAGAATTTGGCGTCTACAACATGAAAGCATGGATCCATCCTGCCTTGTATCAACGGTTCAGGCTGGTGGTGGTGGTGTCATGGTGTGAGGAATATTTTCTTGGCACTCTTTGGGCCCCTTGGTACCAATTGAGCATCGTTGCAACGCCACAGCCTACCTGAGTATTGTTGCTGACCATGTCCATCCCTTTATGACCACAATGTACCCAACTTCTGATGGCTACTTTCAGCAGGATAATGCGCCATGTCATAAAGCTGGAATCATCTCAGACTGGTTTCTTGAAGATGACAATGAGTTCACTGTACTCAAATGGCCTCCACAGTCACCAGATCTCAATCCAATAAAGCATCTTTGGGATGTGGTGGAACGGGAGATTCGCATCATGGATGTGCAGCCGACAAATCTGCGGCAACTGTGTGATGCCATCATCTCAATATGGACCAAACTCCCTGAGGAATGCTTCCAGCACCTTGTTGAATCTATGCCACGAACAATTGAGGCAGTTCTGAAGGCAAAAGGGGGTCCAACCCGTTACTAGCATGGGGTACCTAATAAAGTGGCCGGTGAGTGTATGTGGCCTATGCTAACCTTTTGGTATGAGTGCAACTGTTCATACCACGCCTTTAGAGAGCAATATATTTCAAAAACCTTATGTCTTTCATAAACACCTAAAATGGCATAACATTAGTTTAACATCGTTTTAAATTTCGAAATAAATCTTGCGTGTTTTTCTTTCACTACTTGTTCTTTTTGCATGCAGAAGACAAAGGGTTACCCATAAAACTTTTAAGTCTGACTCGTTTCTGTGTTTATTAGAAGTAAAACATTTGAGTAAAGCAAACTGGAGACGTCTGGAGGAACAAGATGACATAAAAAAAAAAACCACATTAACACATGTCAACCAACACTTGTGACACTGCTGTTCTTTTTCCGCCTCCTCCGTTTCCTTCCTCTGGCGTCCTTGAGCCAGCACAGTGAGGAGGGTATTAATGCAGACGCAGGACAGCGTGAACCAGACGGGAACACGCACAGGAGCTGAGCTGAGGGCTAAAGGCCCGTAACAAACAGAGGCTTCGCTGTGGTGGCGTGCTATTCTGAGAACGTTCATCCTTCTGTCTTTCCTGCCTCTGTGTTTCTTCCAAACACCAGAGGCTGGAAGACCGGCACATTCTGTTCATTTATAGTTTTAACCCTGCAGTGACACTAGTCAGAATAAAAAAAATAGAGCGGTTTTTAAACATAAAGAATTATATATAAATATATTTATTTAGTATTAGTTTGATTAACGACACCAAACAATTTTAACCTCATTCTAAGGGCTTCTTCTACACTTACCCTTAGTCTTAGTTCATTGCTCTTTAAAATAATGCAAGATAAAAGGAAAACTCTTAATAGGGCATAATAAACTAAGGCTTATGATAAATATCTATTTTCAAACTTTACATGAGAATCATAAACAAGTTTCTCTTGCAAAGTTTTATTCAGTGAAAGTTTAGATTGGAGAATTCAAAAAGCTTTTTTGAGCAATTTTTAAACTTTTCGATCATAACTGTGAATAATTCCGAGTTTTAAATATCATATTGGCTACTATAATAGCCCACTGAGTGTTGCAGATTAGGACAGGAAAGATGGCCTTTAGATTTTTGCACATATACTGTGCTTCTCTCCAATGTTAGCAGCTTAATGTTGCAACATGTGCAATGGGAAAACTATAATATTCATCCAAATATAACATCTCTAGCCATTTAAATAATAACATGGATCCAATTAAGGACTGAAGACATGAATCCCTCAGACAGTTTACCGTCTCCCCACAGACTCACATTACTGAGAGCTGTGCTGATTCAGCCGCGGTCCCACATTAAACTTATGAGGGGCCAAACAAAAGCCCTCAGTTCTCCTTATACAATGTACACTCATGCACACGCTCACCCCCATCCATCCACAGCTGCGTTACGCAACAGGGAGGAGAAACCTCTCGAGAGCTGGGAGTACTTTCCTCTCACTGGGGAACATCACACATTCCCACCACACATTAGTGGGCTGCTGACTGAACAGAGATCAAGTCCAGACACACAAACCAGCACACAGCATCTGCTAACAGTATAAACATGGGGGTTTACAGTGCCTGGAAAAGGTTTTCTACTTTTTACTAATTACAATATATAGAAAAACCTACAATTTCACTGCATCTTTCTCAGCGGCTAAGCAAACATTATAAAGACCAAGCAGCAGAGCAGACAGGTCAGGGATAAAACTGTAAAGGTTATGTTTTAAAATAACATCCTGCGCTTTGAACATCTAAAGGCACCATTCAATCAATAATCTGATATGTCAGAAGGAGGAGCGTGTTGACTAGCATGTATATGATAAAGGAAAAACCACATGACATGACAACAAACCACATAGAAAAAGTTTTTAAAAAGTTTACTGAAAAAAAAAAAAATGAGACCAGAAGGCAACTTTTATTTTGTCTTATATGCAAAAAATGGTCTGTAGAAAAAACAACCAAAACACACCCGTACTGACATGAAACCCAGTGGTGGCAGTTTAATGCTGTTCCTCTACAGGGAAAAAACATAAAAGTACTTAAGGAAAACAATTAATAAGTTCAAAAAACTGAACCCCAACTGAACTCCCAACCTAAAAAAAAAAAACAAAAAAACATAAAAAAACCCAGCCAGAACTACCATGGGGTAGTTTAGATTAAAACATAATGATGGCCCAGTTAAAGCCCAGAGCTACAGCATAAATCTGATTGGGAATCTGTCAATTTACCTGAAATCTGATGTTCATTTAAAAGCAGGAAAAAGGGATTCTGTGCTGAAAGATATGTCCAACAGCTGTTTGTGTATTTCCAGTTCTCTATGCTGGAAACGCCTCAGCTGGTAATTTTATATTTCACCTAGAGAGGCAGCAAAGTGCCAGGATGCACCTAGGCAGCAGGAAATCTCCATAAGAAGAGGAGGTCTCTGCCGGCGTTATCACTGCAAGTTATATTTATGTTTATGCATTTATCTCATTCTCCCCAGCGGGGATAAAAACCCAGGCTGGGTGGTGGCTTAACACTTGAGCTAGCCAGCTGCTAGCAATTTGTTGGCGTGT